ATATGCCTCATGTATGTGCGTATGTACGAATAGCAGGAGGAGTTCGCTGTCGGCGGTGAGACATTCCTTCGGCAGAGTTGACGACAGCCGGGTCTCGACTCGGCTCCACAAACTAAACCCGCATGCACTGAAGAGTCTAATGCAGTTGAGGTCACTAGAGAAAAATTGGAAAGAGGGAGAGACAAAAGAAAGGGACCCTTTCATAGAGTCCAGGCAGTCCGGAATATGCAGGCAATGCGGGATAATCGGGAATCCTAGATCATAGGACAGCTATGCAGTAAACGTACGGGGTTGAGTGTAAACACCAAATCGGCCAACGATGAATCGGATGTTGAGCCTACAAACCTGACGAGATACGGCCTGTGCCGGTGGTGGAACCGATTGGAGCCCACTAACGGGGGATAAGGCGGAAGAGAATAAGGTGGCCTGTCGGAAACATCGCAATGATGTGATGACGACTTCAAAGTTGCAGAGCCTTGTTCCCCGACTTCCTTGGTCTGGCCACCTTGGCGCGGTCGTTGATATCCGGCATTATCATCGTATATGATATCGACGGGGTCTCTAAGAATGACATCAGATCCTCGGAACCATGGTAAGTCTGAAACAAGAGTCAAGTATGATTCGGTAAATATTACAGGCAGTTAAATTTGCACGCTAGGTATATCAGATAAATGAAAGATGACGGGTGTAGGAAATAAAGACAAAAATCAAAATAGAATAGTAATTAAAGATGCATAACAGTCGATAAGATTGTAAAAGAGATGTGGGTGATAGGTACTATGGTAGGTACTTCCTACAACTTGAAACTTGACAGCCGGTTAATACGCCGTGCAGATCGACTAAACTGCCACGTGGGGAAGTACCGATTGTGTGCACCCTCATGTAGGATACTTTAACTTAAACCTGTTCGAGCTTGAATGCGGATGTAGGTAATTAATTGCAGGTGCTGACCTAAGAAGGACTGACTGCATACCTCGCTTCTTTAATTTTCGTCCGTTCAAGGTTATGTAAGTGGCAACTTTAATCTCTACGGGTATCGAGATGTCTAATGCAACTTGCTTTTTTGAAGATATGGAAGGTACTAGGTATCCATATGGATATATGCGAACTTTAGTTATTAAGTTTGCGTACTTGTAAACTGTAAAATCTACCTGTCCTTAAATATTTCTAGTTGTTAATCGGGAAAAATGTTTGAAATAAAAACCCAGTCTTAACAAATGCCAAATTTCTCATTTCTTTGAGGCTACCACAAACCAGCTCAACTTTCTAACACGCAAATATCTACTAGCATCCATGGATACTAGGTCAGAGCGTACATAAGCCGACATTTGCATGCTCTTATCACGTACTTACCTACCAGGTATCTAAGAACCCAAAGCCTGAATGGCTTCGTGACCTAGCTAAGTACGACACGAAGCATCAACAGAAAAAAAAGCAAAAGTAACCACTATTATCCAAATTTGGTTATGGTGCTAATTCGGGGCGTTCCCCACAGGGAATGCCTTCGTCATATCATTCAGCCACAATAAACATACATGGCATAGTATGCAGCAACCCGGCACGCCAGGTTACAGGTTAGTTACCTGTTCACGCAGCAATTAATCGTATGTGTTTCTTATAAGGTCTTACAGAATAGATCCAGATCCCCCCAGTTTAATTGGTACGGGCCACAAGTCCGCGGCTACCACGGGATCGCTGTCCACCAATCATGGGACTTAACTCCGGAAGAGCATTATTCACCGAAGTTGGGAATGATGGCGGCCTCTATCTTTAGGGATGCTAATGCGTACCGATGCAGCTCACGTCAAAGGGTCAACCGCAAACTGACAGGGAGTTACATTTGCCCAACCTGTTTAGGCTTCGATTGCATGTAATCCGGCTTAGCTACGTCAACCAAGCCCGCCAGATCTTCGCTGAAATTCACCGCGTTTGATCGGCTCGCCGTTTGAGAGAGACATCTTGCTTTCTATACACTATAGCTGGACAAATATGCGCGGCGCTTGGCCGTGCTACCCAGTTTGGCCCGCATATTGATGCTCTTCTTGGTTTATTCCGTCCCCGACATCCGGCTTATGCTGTGAATTCCGGGCGCTCCCGCTCGCTAGCTCCCGCTGCCGGGCAGGTCTCGAGCTCGAGAGGTACCTTCGTTACGAGGCTCTGTTTACAAGTTACCGGATGTCATTTCGTCCAATTGTAATTCGCTGAACTCTAGGAGGCAGGTAAAATACCTACCTAGACGTCTAGACACGCAAATGACTACGGCATTGGAAAATTTGCGCGATAGACTCGAATCTGTATACCGCTTCGCAGGCGACCGCCTTCGTTGCGTGCCCCTTTCGAATTGCATATCACCAATGTCCTGTGGTTCCCTTAGCTTCATTATTCCCGGCAGGTTAATGTGTCGTTCTAAAGCCTAGGATATCCCTATTATTGTATGACTGACTCATAGGAGTTGCTCTACATACATGAATCATCCTACATCGGAGCCATGACGTGCGGTTGGGTATCTATGTTTCTTTTTTTCGATACCTGTCCTTCTAAGGATCCCCGATTGTTCTGGCGAGGCACGGCGATCCAGGTGGTCATCCATTTAGTCAGCTTACCGCATACGACATAATATTCCAACTATTCCAACTTCAACAGTGACGCCCGGCTGTAACTAGTAATGGTCACATGCCGCCCACTCGACAGCCATCGGATCGTAACCTTCCACAACACGGTTGGCACTGTCCAGTAGCCGCAATTTTAACTTGAGCAGTCTAGCCTCGACCCCCCAGATCGCCGACGACGACACGCTGCTTATTCCGTTGACCGGTCAAGTCATTCCAGTGCCGGCGCTTATATTAATTGTGTTTTCTTTTCAACTGCAGGCCAAGATTCATTAAGAGGGTTGTAATACGCGACTAAGGTGACGGACGGCGTCGATATCTTTGCATCATTTTTGCATCCTTGCAAGTGTTATCTACCTGCAGGTCGTTCAACTCGACAGCGCGTCACGATTGAGATTAGGGTAAGCGGTTGTGTCAACGAATATATCGCCTTGATGCCGCGACCCGAGGAAAGATTACTGGGCAACGGTGTATCGGCCCGGGTCTTGAATCCGATCTACACACCTCCCGCCGTGCAGATGCAGTGTGCGATATGCGAGGTCCATACCTAGTACTGGGTGACCATCCTCTTGTTCCATCCCAACTACCTACTTAGGTACACAAGGTTACACACGAATATTGCGAACTATAACGGCACCGAATATGATTTACTGATGGCGCAAATGGCATGTTCGTTTATCGGCACATGTCATTTCATTATATTCCTCATTAACTCGTTTTTTCTTGTCATGGTTAAGCTTCATCGGGTACCTGCTAGGTAGTCAGACAACCTACTGCAGTGAGGGACTTTCTGACCCAGAAACCCGTCCGCAAACAAGCATTCTCTTATCGAAACCTGTGCCTTTGGATTACACAACCTGGCTCCATTTCCCCGCAGGTCGCGCGCCGTACCTGCGACATTTTTAGTAAGACGCATGGTATCGGAGACCTCAGCAATGAGGCGCCGGTCATCCGGGATTCGCATCCGCGTTACACGAGCGCCCCAATGTCTTGTCTTAGCTGCCTTCATTGTCTTCAGTATCTGAAAAATTTCTACGGGGCATTGGAGAGGCGTCGGTTGTGCTTCGGCTGCATTGTTGATGTGATATGCTCTGAGCATCATGTGAGCATGTCCGAAGGATACTAAGGGAAGAAAGAGGTATCCAACAAGACAAAACAACCTGATTCCCGAGACAGCCTCAGCAGCCCCGCTTGATTAGAATTGTCCACATTATGGACATCGGCGAGTTGCCAAGGTAGATGATAGATCGCTGGGCTTTACCATAGCAGGTTGACCGCTTGCAGCGTTTTCGTCGGATCATCTCCCCTTCGTAATAGTCTGTTGGAAATAAACCAAAGATGTGACGATTTGTTCTAGGCCTGATTCGGATAGCACTAAAATAAGCGGTGCTGATGAACCAAATATGCAAAGCTTCCGGACACACCTGGTAGGCTGAGCAGCTGAGGACAAATATCGACTACTCTACTATCCGTAAAGGGAAAGCGAGGTACCCAAAAAGCGCCAGGTCGTCGCTAGATTAGTAATATTGGTCCTCTTTTCGAGAAATTCGAAGCTCTTCCAACTTAGCGCCGTGCATCGTTCACCGATTCACCGAGAAACTCAAAGCGTGCTGGATTTGGACGATCGGAGAGCGAGGCACGGGCCGGCTTCTCCAACCCCCAAGGGGTAGGTATGTAAGTAAGCACCTTAACCAAGACTTGGGGCCTCTACGACATTGATAAAAGTTACTGATTGATATCTTCTTTCTCGATTCGCCGATAAACGGCGAGACGATTACGAGGTCTTCTTTTCAGTCACAGTCACATTCTGATGAAAGTAGAAAGCAATAGTTTCGACCACAGCAATCACCAAGCTTTAAGGGGAAACCGGATAGAAGATCTTTATCAACAGCCTCGTCTTCCCGGTGATACTGCTCTTACTGGGTTGCACAAAAGAATTAAGTCTCCCAGTCTGCCAGTGCCGCCTGAGACCCCTTGCAGCTGGGCAGCCACGCGGTCCTCGTAACGAGAGAGCTAAGGTAGGTAATGCAGCAAACCGCGACCAACGAAAAAACTCGGTCACATATCATAATGCGAAATTATCATGCGAACCGGAGTAGCCTGAGTTACAGAAACCGAGAGGTCGGCATAAACCCACAATACCATATTAGAAGCAATGTAAAATCAGCTGAAAGACCTGCTGAAGTTCGGTATTGTCTTGTCATAAATGACAGAAGCATGTCTTGCCGGTTTTTAGGAGGCGCTTCTTAGCAATTCCCAACAAATAGTCCGCGAACCTCTCGCTGCATTGGCGAGGCTTTTTTTTTTCCCGCGCCCGTCACCATAACCCGAATTCGCATGACCGGGGAAATAACGTGGGACGCTAATAAGACCCTTTGCGACGTTGCGAATTGCTTTTTTAAGCCTCTTAAGTAAGGGGGCTTACGGGCTTATTAGCCTTGAACCTTTGGGGTGTTAAGAGGGGAGACTAATTGCACGTCATCGACCGGATAAGGACAGCCGCCTCGCGGTATTGGGCTGTAAGCGGGGTTTCTCAGACGATCGCCCAACAGCTGTTGAAGACGTGCTCCATCACCTCTCGAATGTCCTGTCTGGCATTCAATGTGTCCTGGCGCTTCTGCACCTCCTCAAGGACCTGGCTCGTAATCCTGGCATTCGTTGCAACTTTCTCCATGCGAAGAATCTGCGATTTGATCCATGCTCGTTCGTCTCCATCCTTCTCTTCGGATCCCCACATCAATAACGGCCAGAGCATATTGACCGGTAACATGTCTTGCGCATCCCTATCGACGAGCAACTTTGCTAGATTACGAATGGTATCGATTGACTCGATGGTCTCTTTTGCCAGAGGGAGCGATTTGTATGCAACCCTATGTAAATGAATCTTACTTGCATGGTAGTTGGACAAAAAGGTCCGAAACGCCCTTGAAATTGTAAGGGCAAGATTTGACGAAACGTGCGGTGCCACCAGGAGCCCGGCTGATGCATAATCCATTAGCGGAGGCCGGGCATCGTATAATTGGCGGAGATCTTTCGAAATTTCAGCCGCAATACTCATCACTTCAGTCTCATCTTCCACGGTACCTCGGCGCCTATGGAAAGGATCTAGATGTGCAATTCTTCCGCTGAAACTTTGTACTTTCTGAAAGAACACGATGCCCGGTTGATACAGGATATCGAAGAGAACTTCTTCAATATCTGTCTCAGGTTGATCGCCGATTCCTAAATCGCCTCCATCGAGGCTACCGGGTGAGGCATATGATAAAAGCTTCTCGTCGATTTCGGATAGGAAAAGTCCCTCTCCACCGGCGGATACTGCCCTAGCATCTATCATGCGGATCCACGAGAGGAGGCGTATCTCGACGGCCCGAAAATGTGTTTTGTCTGATGATTGGTAGATGCCGAAAGCTCTTTTGAGATTTGAGTGCAGAAGCTCGTTTCTTCCTTCGAGAAGGTCTGTGTAACTAAGGAAAAAGAGAGTCGCAAGCATGGCAGCCCGGTTGAGGGCATCGTCTCTCTGCTGGGATGTATGGCCAACCTCGTCATGCCTAGTCAGCTCTGCGACGGTTTGTGCATAATGCTTCTGTGTGGTATCTGCTAATCCCTCGCCCTGTCTAGATAAGAGCAGCGAGGAAAATGTCAGGATGGCATGGCGTAGTATTGACGACGATCGGGACATGGATATGAGCGTCTGCCGCATAGACGCCCACTTGCTCTGGGTTTCAACCTGGGCTATGATTGGAGGCACTACTGATTGCACAAAGTAATCCAACAATGCCCGGTCACCTGACGGGATACTAGATGAAACGGCATTTTCCTCGAGAACGGGATATCCGTCGGAGTTGCTTGATATGGACACATCAAAAGTGTTTCCCATGGGAGGCGAAAGGGTCGTAGAGAATGACGGGGTCTACTTGCGTCAGCGATGTCCATACCTTCTCGTTTTCGCGATTTTAAGGGAGGAGATATTCAAAAGATGATGACGTACCATGATTGCATTTGGCAAAGCCTGGTCTACCACGGGCACATCCTGATTTCCCCAAGACGGGGGCTTCCAAATCTCTGGTCCATCCCACATGAAACTCGCATAGTTGAACACATCATCAAACGATTCTTGGGCAGAAGAAGATGAGGGCTGTGGTGGAATCTCGAGAGTTCTCGAACTTCCACCGCTATTAGTATTGCCATCAGATCTCACCCGATTAGCAAGTAATGTGCCACCCGGGCTATTCGTCAAGAGGGTTGAATTAGATGGTCTCCATCTACATTCCAAGTTCAAGCGGGAACAATGGCCGCATATGGGACGAATTTCATTACAGCGCACCTTGCGACGTCTACACAAGCAAATTTGTTTTTAGCAGGGGATCCTCAATTGATAAGGTGGCGCAAACGCGTATACCACCTACCTGCAGGTCATACAGCCATTCTTGGATCTGGCCGGTCTCTTGACGGGAGAGGCCGGCTGCTGCGGCGTTTGTGAGCCTGTCTGCTGCATCTTTTAGGTTGCAATTCATAGCGTGATGATTTCAAAGCTAGTTCATTCTTATACGAGTCCGACATTTGATAACATTGCATTCGATATAAAGATAGCCGTCAAGTGACCGAAAAAGAGGTCGGGCAAGTCGGGGTAGCGTTCCACATTTCTTTCTCTTTCCCCTGCCTTTTAATACTCCTAGTCATGTATACAAATCCCCACACCAAGTGTTCTTCTCCCTTCTCCACACGCGCTTTGGAGCTGGGGGAGTTGGGGGAGTTGGGGAGCCTGGAAGCCTGGGAGCCTGAAGATCCTAGCAGCCTAGAAGCCAGCAGGGTTAGGTAGCCCTGGTAGCTTAAGGAGATGCATTGATTTTTAGTCTTGGCACCACTGATCGTACCACCTCCAACCCAATCCCAGAGCCGCGGTTCGATCCCCTGACCAGTCTTAACGAATTTCTTGGCTGGCTTTACGCGATACATGATACAGTACACACATAATACCTACCTAATCTCCTAATCTAAATCTAGCATTCACCAAACGAGCGGTGACACTACAGAAAGCTATAGATTTGGAATCAATACAAGGTTGACTTTCTTTGCAGATAACTATATATATTTACGGATTCACCAAACTCGCCTCGACGCTCTCCAACGGCTTTACTACGTCGATGATCCAACTCTGTTTCTTGGGGTCGTCAAATTCGGGATAAGGCCGCCGGCAGTGACAGCTGGCTTCCGGATACCCCAGATATTTAGCGACAACCCATTTCGTCCCGTTGATCCCGCCCTTTCCGAAACCCCATTCGACCCCAGCCAACTTGATTTGAGCTTCGGCAGCTTCACCGAGTTTTCCTTGGTTGTATAGATCGAATAGCTGCACGCAAGCCTGATGCTTCTCTTAGTAACGAACTTTTCGAACGTCGAGACAACCTCAACAAAACGCTGTCGTGTTGGGGACGGGACTCACTTTGGGATACAGGTTGGCAACTCCAGTCACAGAGCCAATTGAGCCAACGGTCATTGCGGGGATGAGCCAATCACTCTGACCCGCTATGGCGGCAAACTCGCTAGGCTCGTATTGGGCTTTTATCCTGGCCACTTTTGCGATACCTCCACAAGTCAGCTTGACCCCTACGATGTTGGGGTGAGCGCCGAGTTTGGCCAGCATCTCCGAATTCACATCTATACCGGCGGCAACTCCGGGAAAATTGTAAACGAGAATCGGTATAGGACTGGCATCGGCGAGCTATTTCCCTTCGTTAGTATATCGGACGTCCGACCCGCGTAATATCAAGGTCTCAGTACCTCTGTGAAGAACCCGACGACTGCGTCTTCGTTCATAGCGAAATGAAAGTAACTTGGGCATAGCACCAATGTGAAATCGGCTCCGGCTTCGTGAGCTGCCGCCACATCGGCTATAACGTCTTTCGTGCTCTGCCCCGTACTTCCGACCGTAATCGGCAGGTCTGGCCGGCCAGCCTCTGCTGCTACCTCTTTCGTCAACTTTATAAGTTGGATCTTTTCTTCTCGCGTCATGGTGACGGCCTCGCCATTGGTGCCTGCTAAGACGACTGTCGTTACTGTGTTAATAAACCTGTCCCTGCAGTACGTTCACCATCGAGAGACACCTACCTCCATGGACACCAGATTTTACGAGAAAAGAGAGATGCTTCCTCTGCAAATCCCAGTCAATTTCCTGGCGTGCATCATTTTTAAACCACGTCAGGCTGGGCGGATGGATGCCTGGGGGGAAGGGTCGTGATGCCGGCATGACTTCTCAATTTCTCGATTTTTTTTTCTCAAATTTTAAGGGAAATAAACACACTAATCACAAGGAAGCATATAATTTACTATTTTTAAAGCACGAGAAAGCTAGGGACAACGGAAGTTTTGTACTTAGCCGCCACGCGACGACCGGGACGCGGAGATCCACCGTCGCTGCGGGGAGGCGACATACCCACGGGTCTGGTCTCGTTAATCTACCCAGCATGACCCGAAATCGTGTTTCTATCGCGCATCATGGCGTGTTTTCCTACGAGATCTATCGATTTTGTGGAGTTTTTGAGGGCGAAGGCGACGACCTTGGCGACTGGTACCCCCGTTAGCGTTGCCGACACACTGGGGAAGCGAGGCGGCGTGCCGATTTGCTAAGAGATGGGTCCTTGTCGCCTAATGCCATAGCGCCTATTTTCAATCCCATTTTACATTGCGCGTCATACTAAGAGGAGGATAGTAGGTATCTTTAGCGGATGGGGGTCACGTCTTTTCATTTACTTCGTCAATTTTTAGCAATTTAAGGGGTAAGGTCAGCTAATTGGTACCATTCGATACCTACCAAGGTGTGGGTAATACCTCGACATCATCTCTACTTACTACTAATTACAGTGTGTATACATTGGCCCTCGTGCGCGGCAATTGGCCTACATTCAGAGGAACCGGGTAATCGGTAACAGCGTGCTCATACGAGAGTGTCTTGTGAATACCCACCTAGGCACTATAATTCAGGAACACATCATCGTCATTGTTCCTCATCATACGCACGTCAACACCGTAACGAAGGAAATATTTGGCGATTTACGAAAAGTACGAAATTTGCGAAAACAACATCGATCGAAACCCGACCTATAACCAATATCATGATATAGCAGAAGCCGTTGTCCTAAGATCTTAAACTTTCCCATTTAGGTCAATGTGCTTATGGACATGATATGATCCGTTCCAATATTGCGCGAGCTGTTCTCACGTCCTCTTCATGGTGTAGGGGCTATATGTCCATGCTACTTACCTAGTATCTCCTTAGGCTCTACATGAGACCAATGGGCGAGAATGCAACGTTCTCACATGTCAGCAAGTTCATGATTTTAGAACGTTCAGAAGCAGTCATCTACTTATTCCCGAATGGGGGCCTCATACGTGCAGCCGGCAGCGCTAACACCGCATTGCATTCCCGCAGCGGATAGGGCAAGCCTTACGTACATTAACTAAACACTAAGTTGCTGGTGGTGTGGAGCGTATGCGGTTGGTGGACGGGTCGACGTCGAGACGCACACGTTATATAAGCTGACTAAATCGGTCGTGCCTCGTGGAGGGCGTGGAAGTTACGCCATAGGACGGGCGAACACGGACGGATCAACCGCCAGATGTAAGTCAGAAATACCAAGCGTGATTAATGATCACAGGGCTGTACACAATTCTTGCCGGATGCATGCGCTGGGAACACACGGTTTCGCAAGCGCTGGTAAGCTACATACGGGAAGATATTCCGGTCTATTGGATGACGTCTAAATCATATCTCTAACTAACAGGATACCTATTATATATATTTTACATCTATATATTTTAATCTTATAAGGATAATCTAATGGTACATACATAGAAACACAAGTTTTGATATGATATCCTGTCACTACCTATAACCAATGCACCTCATCACATCCTAGATTCCCAATTCGGCATGGATTTGACCTCGTATCTCGAGAAGTTCTAGACTAAATGATCGCCGTGGAGGTAATCTTCGCTGGGTAGCAATGAGGAGAGAGGTATTGGACGACATGTATACTGTTTTTTTATTTCTGCTTTTTTCGTCGACTTACCTTCCCGTCGCGGGGGAGAGGGGTTCTCTTTTCTTTTTCTTTTTTCCTTTTTTTTTTCTTTTCGTCGATCCATTAACGAGGCAACTAAGGATCGGTCCGTGGTGGAGAAAGGGTAGTAACTGGATTTCGAAAGGCGGATGCTACGTTGTCAAAAACGCGATACTTAGTAAGATATTGGGATGCAAACCGACAGTCTGGATCCCGGCAAGGGTCGCCCTTCTTTTCCCAATCCCAATCCCAATCCTGCGGCGAGAGGGCGACGGCTCCCGAGCCTGACGGGTGAGTGAGTGAGTCTGATCTGCATGGGGGAATTGGGAAGGATGGGATGAGCGCTAGCGCACGTCCTCCGACGCAGGCGAGAGAGCAAAAGCCTGGCTGGTCTGCCTGCTTGGTTGCTGTCTGGCTGCGCGCCTCCGTTCACTGGACCGGGCCGAAAAAAATAAGAGAGAAAGAAAGAGTCAAAACGCCCGCAGCCCAATGCGCGTTGGCGCCACCTCGCTCAATCCTCTGCACCGTCGCATTTGTCCCATCTCTCGCTCACTCACCTATCCCGTCCTAGGTAATCGGGGACCGAAAGTACTTTCGTACATACATATATACGCACATTACCTGCAATCCTGTTCCCCTTTGCGGTTAGCTAGCACCCGGAACGCCTTCGACCGGGCGGTCGGCGTTGATCATACGACGTGTTACGCAGCGTTGCGTGCCTAGATATCTACCCAGCATCCGAGGTAGGCTGGTACTAGGTAGGTCACGTAGATAGCTAGCTAGGTAGGTAAGTAGGTAGGCATGTACGTAGATTCGTCCCGATTTTTGGAACGGGGCGTATGTATGTTTGCTTCGTCGTCAGGATGCAGCACCAGAACCAGAGCGAGCACGGCGTGCATCTTTTCCCTGTCGCGAATCCGTCCGCGGCGGGGTCTGGACCCTGCGTTCTGCGCGTCGACGTTTCTTCTTTTTCTTCTTCTTCTTTTTTTCGTACTCGCAAGCTTTGCTTCGCAGAGTAAGGTCCATGTGCCGACTTTATCCCCCGCCCGAAGGAGAAGCCGGAGGCCTCAAATGGCATAAGGCTGATGGGACGGACGTGGGGGGCGTTGGTTCGTTTGCTTTTCTTATACGTCTCGCGGAGCCAATGACGTGCTCGATCGTGCGGCGATGCCTGCGGCTCGACCGTTGCGCGCTGGTAGCTCGGTGGTTTTCGGTGAGTTGGCGCGGCGGTTCCCTGATTTTCTTACCGCGTAACACTGGCCAATGTTGGGGGTTTGGAGAGCTTGATGCGAGACATCGAGGGAGAGCCAAAGATAGCCAGCCGGGATACGAATCGTCATCCGGGATGCCTCGTGATGCTCGGCCGGTAGGACGCCGCGGTTCGAACTAGCATTCGAGCGCGATGTACTGTATACTCGGGCTATAATGCCTACCTTGTCTATAGTGTCCAGGGCGCGTACCGCGGAGTAAGCGGAGGCCTTGTCACTCCCTCGGGATTATCCGTAGGCGACGGCTTGGCTCGCTGGAGATATCCCAGTGTTCATCATGACGTTGAGATCGGCGGCGTGCTTTGGCAACTTCATGATCGCTAGTCGAAGTCCAGCGCTATTGATATGTTGTATGACATTGGGCACGGAGACATTATGGGGAATTGGCGTTCATTAGTTGGGAGAAGCTTACGGCTCTTCTACTAGGACGAAAGGGGTATCATGTTCTTAGTCTGGATTGTTGCTATTGGGAGGACGCGGGAAATAGGAGGCTGAAGGAAGGGGGCTATCTTGTGTATCCTATGTATGTACCTAGAAGGCGGCTAGGTATAGTACTTTTGTTCGCAAAGAGATGCCGTTTTCTTGAGCCTATCAAGTTCATACCGTCTCAGGAGCAACCAAGTTTCCAAGAAATCGACTAGTTTCTCTTATTCGATTGTTAATGTTTGCGTAACCTTTCCATGTAGCTACATACAGTCTCTATATGTAGATTGATCTGATATCCCTAGAAGAATGATGAGATATTAGGCTAAGGTTAAATTGGAATTATCCCGTTCACCCAGAAGCCCGTTTTAAGGGGTTTATGATAGGTACTGGGTAGGTGTCCAAAAGTGTATGGATTTCGAGTAGCCAACTTCAATAGGGGTTATCAAACTGTAGGGTCAACTTCCAAGTTAAGAAACAATGTTCATATAGTCTCTTCAACGTTGCTAACAGTAAGTATTCTGTATTATCTAGTAGAAGCTAGCATTTGAATTAGAATTGCGTGTAGCTCTAGGTGATTTCGTTAGCTATTCAAGTACCAGTCTATAGCTGTAGTTATGTCGTCCCCTACCTATGAGTCCTTATACCATGTCCCTATTGGGACTGCACTATCGTAGGACAAAGGGTTACTGCTTTGATCGAACACAATATCTAGAATAATAGATACATACTAGGTACCATATAAAATTTTGCTGGCCTGGGACCGTTTTAGTCACGTCGTCTTGTTTTGTGAAGCTCCAAGTGCGATTACCAGTCATATGAGGGCTAGCAGCTTGTGCCATATGAGCCCCCCAGACTGCACCGATAGAATTTGCTGTATGTCACAAAGCTTCATCGACTGACACCTCGACTATGGGGTATAAGACAGTTTACCGTTATAGAAACCTAGAAAGGGACTGTAGTAGGGGGCGAGAGAGAGATCCGTGTGGACAGCGTCGGGATAAACGGAAAGTCTAGACTTCTTGACATATCAAACCAGTATACGAACCATTGACTTTGGCGTGACGAAAAGTCAATCCCGAGAACAAACGCATCTCGTGAGCTCTATCTGGATGACGAGTTGTGAGAAGTGAATGGTGCAATGGTGGCTTCTAATATGTCTTGGTTCGGTAGTTCTCGAGCAACTCTTGCTGAGACAATGTGCTATGTAACTGGTATTAGAGGGAAAGTCAGACATCGCGTGGGTTTGTTTTAGTTATACGTGTGTGGGTGTTTTTGAAGGCAAACCCACCATTCCATTGACGTGCTGGTGAGTATAGTGGTCTCTGGCTTCTAAACTAAGGATGGATGATCTTGGTTCATGGGTATCTGCGTGGTAGCTATGGTGTCACGATGTAGATTATAGATGATACCGCTAAATTCAGAGGGCTGCTACGTGGACACTTTAGGGCCTTAAGCCATAGCAAAAAGGGGGTCGTTGGTATCAACGTGGGCGAAGCCAAACACTAGATTCTGGGCGCCGTGTCAAATAGCTACCTGGTGTGTTATTCATACCCTCTCAAGGGCTTTATCGCCTGGATTCCTGCATTCCATGTTTGACCATTGTTGATGATGTCATGTCTAAACACGTACCTAGATATATAAGGGTGGCATCTTAGAGTAGATGGGTCGCTGGGTCAATTGTGATTCTATCACCTAGAAGTATGGTCCCAGTTCTTGCTAAAGCAAAACCCGTTGTCTCCCCAAACAGCGGTTACCTATCAGCACTGTTAAATCTCAACTAAGAAGGTATACAGGTAACATCCATCCCACTGGTACCCATTGCAACTGGGGTTTGGTTAACTCCAGGTCCAGTAAGTAGTGTCTCATTAAACACCATTTATAGAAACTGTTAGTTAAGTGAATAGCTCTATGATGTATTCTTATAGAGGCTGACTTATGGCCCAGGGTTTTAACCTTGAGGGGCGATTTTCCCACATAGCACTACATCGTCTCCGAGGGGTATCCAAGCTGTGCTAGTAAGTCGAGCTACAGCGCTCAGCTTACCGTCCGGGCTGATCTTTCGGGGTGGGGAGACGAAGACACTTCCTTGACCAAGCCACGTTGGCGCAATAGTTACAATAACTGAGTTGACTAAATGTGAATTCCCGTGTGAGAGGAGAGAGTTTATCACTTCACCGCCACCCTCGATCATAATGCTCCGCAGCCCCTCGTTTCGTACAGCAGATAGGATAGCGTGCCAATCGAAGCGCTTACTACCTAAGTCCGCATCGGAGTTCTGGCTTCTGTGCCCACTTAGGACTATAAACTTCCCTCCGAGATCTTCCAATAACCGCTTTCTGCTCTCCGGGGGCTGTGGCACAGCTGTGATGATATATGGGGCCAGTCCTTTTCCTGCCCGAGCTAGTTGCATAACCTTACTCTTGGAAGTGAAGTCCCAGCGCAGATTTGGGTCAATAATTATTGGTCTCGGCTGATGTGTGGTGAAAGTATGCTTCGTATCCTCGCCGGCGGCTTCTCCAGCCAGCCCCAGTAGCGCACCAATGCCCGCAGTGGCAGCAGAGGACGAAGTTTCTAGGACTGGACCGTCCAATGCGATGCGGGAATTCAACCCTGGGTCATCGGCGATAGCTGTGCCAACGCCAACACAGATGGCGTCGTGGCGACTGCGAAGATAATGGGTCATGGCTTTTGATTGGGGCCCCGAGAGAACAGTCCTGATACCCGGTCCGAGGGACAGGGCTGAATCGAGGGAAGTAGCGAATGTCAACGTGACAAACGGCAAATTAGTCGATGAAGAGATGCCATCCTTGACGCCTGTCACCAGTGGCGGAAGATGAGACTCGAGCTTCTCCTTTTCGATGGATGGGAATATTAATGGAAGTTCAGCCATTTGGAATATGTTGTTTTAGATTTGACTTAATTCAGAAATCAATATCCGTATCTCTGGGAGATACCAATGCTTATTTATTCCAATCATATGTTCAAGATATGATCCCTCTAAAGGCGATATCATCTGTAGGTAGATGAAGTTGGAAGACATGAAGTTGGCCGCTAAGTAAGATCCTCATATCTTGCATAGTTCTGTAAGCCAATCAGTATTCAGATAGAGTCCAATTCATTACCTTTTTGGTGCATAGATCAATTATATGGATCTGTATATGCACTAACAGGGATAATATGTATTGTTATCGGACCAACACCAAATTCCAAGTATTTAACAGAGTCGGTGAATGGACTTAACAATTCTCATGAATTCGGGAAGAAGACACGGCAAGTTTGGTGAATCACGAATATTGATGCCTTGATTTGTCATTTACTTTGAAAGTTGGAATTATTGAATTGTGTACGGAATATTCGACCAATGAACATTGACTTTGTCCCTCCACAAGAATGTGGCGTAACAATAGAGCACAGCCACATGCGCATTTCGGGATATGGCGTAAAATTGCTGTAAGACATACATGTGATCCCTGTACCTGGATACATATCTTGCGACATAAGCTGTTTGATCCGTGAATCTCAAAGACCTTCGCGACGGTCGTATTTTAACAATCGTCCCTCTAAATTCCTCCTGCTTATCATTCGTTATAATCTATCTCTGACTACCATTTCTACCAATTCTTGCTAGCCAAGACTATACCATACTACCTACCTCTAATCAAGCAGTAATAACTGTAAGACACCACGCGTCAAGAAAAAGCTCCGCCACAAATCTAATCACATCCTCTCGGTGCCAATCCTCGGCGCCAACAGACCAGCGCAGCCGACTATCCGAACGAAGTGGGCGCTTTATTTGTATTACCTGAAAGGATCTTTTTCCGCCCTCGCAGAAACAATTTCTTCCTCCTTTATACCTCCATCCACAGTGTCGTAGATGCGAGATCGATCCATCTAATTCGACAACACCCGACTTTAAATTTCCTACTCTCATCTACCTATCTACCTAGGTAGCTACCTGGTACATCTCGTCGCATAAGTGTACTAAACCAACCAAACAACAACCAATCACCAACCTTCCAACCGGTCCGGTCCGTAGCAATACCACCTACATCCATACCTACCAACCCACCAACCCATCACCATGTCCGGCAAAGACGACCTCCCCCCAGCATACGGCCCACCGCCACAAGCCCCGCAAGCCACCTACCCAGGCGGCTACCCGCCACCGCAGCAGCAGCAGCCCGGGTACGGAGCGCCCCAGGGCATGGGGTACTACCCGCAGAACGCGCCTCCGCCGCAAGGCCAGTACCAGGGGGGCTACTACCCGCCGCCGCAGGGCTACCAGCCGGGGTACCAGCCGCAGGGCCAGTACCAGAACCAGCAGCAGCAGTCCTCGGGAAGCGATAGCTGTTTAGGCATGTTGTTCGGTGCGCTGGCGTGTTGTTGTTGTCTGGAATGTCTGTTTTAAGGGGATGAGGAAGAGGAGAGGGGCAAGGAGGTAATGAAGTTGTGTCGTGATCGCGATCGCGAGGATCGCGCTGAAGACCGAACCGAGAGCCGACGGGCGATGTGACGATTGACATTCGAGGAGGGCCGTTGCCGAGGATACCTTCGCTATGCATATTGAATTTGAACACCGGAGCAGGGCGTTGCGGGACTACTCATTACGTCGTTTTGTAATTATACGGCATGGCATTCTGATACGTTCTAGGTACATAACTTACGACAAACCACGTCAAACCAGCTACTTGTAATCTCAATTTCATGTGATTACTGCTTCTGCCCGCTTGATTACTTGCTTGCTAAATATCACATCCGTCTCTTGTACAATGTGTTGAAACATGCTAAAAATCCTCTATACAGCAATGCCCTGGGCATGTCCATTCGCAAAGCCGTTTGCGCCGTTCGTATGACCATTTATATCACCCGTAAGCGTAGCGTACAACTCGTCGAACTTCTCCTGGGCTTCCGCCACGCAGTCATACGAGTAGATCATATGCTGCACCTCGGGACTGGCCCACTTATCTGGAATCGGAGTCCCCTTTTTGGCCTCCTTGAACTGTCTGTCGCGTTCTTCCTTCGCTTTGCCGTCGCCTAGATGTAGCGTTCGCGCCGAAGAAGCCGCCAACTCTACTAGTATCGATGTCCGCTCCTTTCTCAGGAGCTCGTAGACCTTAAGCGCCTTAGATAGGGCATCCCTATCGGCGCCACCGCTAGGCGCCTGACTTACAACCTCCGCTAGCACGGCAGCATCTTCGATAGCCATCGCAGCACCCTGACTAAGGTGTGGCAGCGTTGGATGGCAGGCGTCACCGACAAGGGCAACACCTCCCAGAATCCAGCTATCGAGCGGCTTGTGTGAGCGCAGTCTCCACTCGCAGACCTCACCCTCAGGCACCATATTAAGCATCTTGAGGACGATGGGATCTAAGTCGCCATACACCTTAAGCATGGCGGGCTTGCTTCCACGCGTCGTGTACGTGGCGTTAGTCGCCGCGGCGAAGTTGACGTCAGGCTGGCATGTCGACAAGTTGTAGATGGTCTTGTTGCTAATAGGGTACGCCACGATATGTCGTTTCTCGCCGATCCATCGCAGCGCACAGTCAGCGTCCAACAGCTCGAGGAGATCTGGGTCGTGCTCCATCTCGGCCCGCGTCAACATAATTCGGTACGCGGCTTGCCCCGTGTCCTCGACGTCAGCCGTGATGTTTAGGCCCTTCAATATTCCGGTTCGCACGACGGATTTTATACCGTCTGCGCCGAGAAGGACGTCGGTCTCTACATCGTACGCCTCGCCGTTACGCGGCTGTACCGTGAATACGACTTTACCAGGGCCGAAGGACTTCACATCGGCCAGCGAGGTCGAGAAATGGAAAGTGATGTTGGGTTCCTTCTTACATCCCTCGTATAAGCCGCCGGCTAGAGACGCTCGGTGTCCGGTACAGTGGGGATATCCGTACTTTTCCTCGATGTCGGGCATCTCGACATGAACGAGCTCGCGATTCGTGGATCCTTCACGGATACTGGAGGCTTTGATGTTGGTAGCTTCAGCTAAGATGCCGTCCCAGCAACCCCAGCGATCCAGCACGCGGGCCATATTCGGAGCCAGTTGAATACCCGCGCCGACGAACCCCAGGTTCGAGGCTGTCTCGTATACATCGACATGCTTGAACCCTTTCTTAGCGAAGGCGAGGGCGCAAGCAAGGCCGCCCATACCTATGGTGAAGCGACATCAGTCGTTATACGTTGGTTTTGTCTTGTTTAACTCACCCGCGCCAATAACGGATATCCTTAAGTCCCTATAGTCCGACATATCGACAATCTACGACGCTCTAACTCCAGGCCAAGACCAATAAATGAGTATATTCGAAACGTCCCAAAGGTCGAAAGGTATTTATTGTGTAACAGCAGAGTGTGCCGAGTGAGTGTCGTCAGATCAGATAAAATGTTTAGGTGGTATGTTTGATGTATTTGATATATTTGATATATCGCAACGAATGAGGACGGTATGTCATCCTAGGTAACGAAGGGCGGACTCCTTGGACCAGGACCATTACCCGTGTACCTACCTACTTTTTCAGGCGGCCTGGACATTCTGCCGCTCATAAGCCTTCTTTAGTTAGATAGTTATCCCGAGGATGATTGAGGGAATAAGAAAAGCCTAGAATGAATTTCGGACATCCTAGTTAACGAACAGAGTGGGGCCAATTGATTGCCGGCTAATGAGGGGTTCTTTCCAAGGATTCCGTACCGCCATAGTCTATCGGCATTAGCTTTGTCGGAAGACAGGGTAGTATACGATAGTAGGATAATCTTTTCGCCTATGTGCAACTATGTATAATCGTTTGTCGTCCGTCCTTTCCCTCGTTTTATATGAGTGCCACAGATACTTCCCTAGTACGAAGTACCTGTGGGCCTCTCATCTTACGTACGCGTGGCTCCGTGTAATGGTTTTTGTGTAATACCAATGACGTATGTGACGCTCATGTGAAACCGCAATATAGAATCGACGATGTAGATTTCGGACATGAAAATTCATCCGGTTTTCATTCATAGTACAAAATGGGGGTTTCCCAATATACAAGTTTTGATTAATTCCGTTCCCTAGAAGGATCAGTACCTAGACAATGCTATGATACAGCAGGCTCGGCGCCACATGAGATGAGGTACAGTACCTAAATAACTAATCCAAGACAATCAGCTCATCCCAAAAGCAAAAGCCCATCCACGGCTAAATCATATAGTCTTCCAGCTGACTTCGGCCCTCCGTAAGAAAATTTTCAAGGGACTAGACACGAAAATCCAGGCGTAACAATGATAACCTTGGAATCTGCAGAAATTCTCCCAATATACCAAACAAGGACTAGTATCCTACGTTAATAAGTGTTCCCTTCACAGCCATAGTAAGTTATCGAACCACAACGAAAATTGTGTTGGTCCAACAGTTTAGACCTCAGTGACCACGATATCAGGCACCTGTTTCGGTGTATCGGCCTCAGTTGACGTATCAACTTCCACAACTTCCACTTCCTTGCCTTTGTAATTATATTGCAATGGTGCAGTCGCGGACTCGGCGTCGCACTCGACAACGTCAATTGGGTCGGATTCCAACGATTCTCCGTATTTAAATCGCCTCTCAACTTTGAGATCCCTTATGCCCGTTCCTGGCCGAAATCGTCTGCTATTACCTATAGCACTCTCGGGTAACTCTAGATCCTCTTCCTCCTGAAAACTGACTACTTTAGAGCATTGTTGGAGTCCTTGAGATAGCAGATCCACCGTTGGGCTTGATGGGTGAAGAGTAGGTTCCTGTTTGGGTGTGTCATAGGGCTGATCCGTTCCTAGTGCTGGATTTGGGTATAAGTTGTCTTTGCCATCAAAGCCATAATCCACTTTGATAGCCTCACTCAGTTCCTTCCCATCTAGTTCTAATAAGGGTGAGAATTGTTCAGGCGTCATGCTCTTAAGCGCGACTGCAGATCTCGAATGCGTCTCACCGGTGTCCTGATACGATAGTAGAATTAAATCGACCAATACGTCTCCTACTTTTCGGCCGCACGTCTTTGCAGCACGTACGCCTGCCTCTTTCAAGTCGACTTCCTTGATCTTGTTTGAGACCAGGCGAGCAACTAGCTTCGAAGTGTCCTACTCCTTCTTGATGGCTCTGCTGTCTAGTCTAAGCACACGCTCCCTAAAGACAACGATGGGCTTTCGAAGGAATAGAACGCCAGCCGCGCAAATGAAAGTTGCAAATAGTTGCCATGCCATCCACAGCAGCGAGGCTCCCCAAGGTGCAACGAATCGGAGAAACTCTTGTACTTGGTAGTGGTCCTCCTGACCTTTTATGAAGTAAAGCTTGTTCGGCTGATAGGAGAGAGATAGATCGTTGTTATCAGGACTGGCTCTCCCCTTGAGGATGGGTCTATTGCTGCGGTCGGTAGGTTTCCGTTGTAGTTCTAGGACAGTCACTAGTTTTACGTTGGCCTGCCATAAAGAATACGGCACGAACCAGAGCGTGAATGTCTGGCGAATTGAGCAATATAACAAGCCGTTCTTCTTGTCGAAGCCTATGGATTTTAGTTAATAGATAGATTCAATGTATTAGTTACGGGGTGGTCTCACTAGTTGAATCGATCTTAAGCTTGATGTCTGGACTTAAGACACGGTACCATTGGTAGATGAAGTAGATAAACCAGCGAGAATTTATGACCTGATTCGTCCAGAGGATTTTGCGATCGCCGAAGGATGGAACACGACAGAATGGGTGGATGAAATAGGCATCGGGTAGGAAATATTCATCTAGAGTATCAGATTGCTCTTGACGGGACTTCATCGTCAAGGCACTGATAACATGATGAATTTGGGTTTCGGGGTTATCCATCTTTGCGGTTTGTTTTTGGTGATTGCTATCCAAGTATCCTCTCTTTAGTTTAATCGAGCTGTCAGCGTGCAGAGAAGAGTGTATATAGGCCGAAAGATTGTTGTTGTGAGAGATGAAGAGGTGAACTTAAGAATGCAATATGTTTATCTAACTGTAGGAACATCATGATGTCATCAGTCTTAGGCTCGGCATGTGAATGTACCTAGTCGTTGAGGAAACCACAACAAATATTCAAACCCTTCGCAATTTCTTCCATATCCTTAAACAATTTTAGTACCGTAGTTTTTAGAATTGATCTAATGCGTCCTTATTTAATGGGAACCATAAGTAAGTTTAGTAGCCGGACCTAGGAAAAACAAGGTGTCGCTTCTCTAAGTGGAAGAGGTTGAACTTTAATACTAAGCAATTTACTATAATAAGACTACATTCTTAAGTAATCGTTACATACGTAGTACCAGCGAACAAGTTATGGCCCTGAATTTCAGGAGAATCTAGTCAGTAATGCTTAGAAAAACACAAAAATGTCATCGAAACCACTAGCCTCTCCAATGTCACATACATTCATTCTCCTCATACGCCATGCTAAATGTAGATTACCAAATAATACACAGATCTTCCAAATATCCCATCCATATGTTCATGTTCGTCTTAGATCTTTCCCAGTGTAGTTGTAACCACATTAGCCCCGTCCTTTCCAAGAACCTCCCAAACTCATCACCACTCATTATACCACCCATTACACCACCTTCTCCCCACCTCCCCACCATCCCCATTACCCTCACAACGAAGCAGACATCACGCCCTCCTCGAACTACTCCTCCTTCTCCGACTCATATCCCTCGACCCCTCCCCCCCAGAATACCGAAACTGCCCACTCCTCCGCTCACTACTCCTCCTCCTCCCATAACTCCGTCTACTATCCCTTCGTCGCGGGGGCGTGCTATTCTCCTCCTCAACCACAATCTCATCCTCATCCAACATCCTGCGCGCATGCACACGACTCACACTCGTCGACCTCGACCTCGACCTACTACTCCCGCTCCGCCCATGCTCCTCCATAACAATAATCTGGTCCACGCCCGGACTACTCGGCGGCGACACCTCGCGCCTGACATCTCGACGCGTGATCTCGATCGTCTCCTTCGTGCGCCGGCGGGGGCTGTAGTCCGAGCGGCTGTTGGTGTGGGTGTGGCGATTGCTATGGCGATGCACGCGCGGCCGCGAGCGGTACGAGACGACGCTGGACGAGCCACCGGCCCCGACGGATCCGGACTCGATGTCGGGCGGCGTCGCGTTTCCGATGTTCACGCACCAGTAGATCAGCCCTAGTAGCAGGATGAAGCCTGCGATCGAGCCTAACACGATGCCGACGACGGCGCCGGGGGCGGGGCCGTTGGGCGTTCGTCCGTACCCCTCCGGCACGGTGCTGACGTCCGTGGCGAGGCGGGGGAGGAGGTGCGTGCGGGAGGCGAGGGCGTGGAGTTTGCCGGTGAACGATGATATGGTGGTCGGTGGGGGAGTCGAGGAAGAAGTAGACGCCGGAGCGGCGAGGCGCGCGAGGGCGCGCAGGGGTTCGGGAGGCGGCATGGAGGATTTCGGTGTGTATGAAATGCCGTTATCAATCGGATGGAAGAGGATTAACGAGATTGAGTTTCGCCCGAAGTCGTCTTAAGATTCGAAAACGTGCCTCCGCTTCCGTCGGTGTTGGCTCGTGGGTGTTGTGGTTCCAAGGTTCGTTCGTATTCGGCTGTAACCCGCCTTTAAAAACAGGGCAGAGTAATCGCGCGCGCAAGATTTTGGGTGGTAGGTACAATACAATACAGAAACTGGACTGCTAAAACAACATCATAACGTATTCAAAAGAAATGCGTTGCGTAAATCTGGATTTCAAGCAAACGAGGAGAAATCAAATCGAAATATTCGTAGGTGAGTGATCGTCTAGGTAAGGTACTGTACAACTCACAGGGCTAGATGTGAGCGCGGTTAACAACTAGGTAGATGATAATAAGGCGCCAACATCGCGTTGTATTCGTCGTTACCAACGTACAACCCTGTAATTAGCACGTAAAGGTCCACTGACTGAATCACTGGATAGGGGGCAGGGGTGGCTGGGACCCAGATAGTTGCTACCGCAACATATGCTGTAGCACGGCAGCACGGTAATTGTACCGACATGGATATCCCCACTTACCATTCCCGTCCCTATCTTATCGCCCTTCGCCAATGACCTTCAGACCGCTCCGAAATGGAGAAACGGGAAGACATGTTGTGAATGCAGAATGCAGATTCAATATCACATTTTGATTCCTTGGTCTATCTTATTAGAAGATAGTTCGTCATACTTAAAACATTGAAGTTGGGCTCTTCCGAAAGGGATAATTGATTGGGCTGGTGAACAAGTAACCAAAATCCGTATGCGTCAGGTTTTTCGTTTATATCCAATTTGTTTGGCCAGCAATGAGTCCTCGAAGTTACCTTTCTAATGGATAACTCTTCGTTGTCACAAACCAACTCTGAAATCCCCACAATCGAGAGACAGATGGCTATGCAACTCCATCTTTAAGAAGATGTTACTATGACGCGTTCCTTCGACATTCGCCGGTTTCCTTCGGGGAATATATACCTCTGCATCTTTGTCAAAATAGGGGAAGATCTCGTCTCGCGCTGACTAAGAATGCCTATAGACATGCTCAGTGCATTACCTACCTATCTCCTAAATCCCTACCGTCATGCAGCACCCATGGATGCATGCAATTGTTTAGACTTTGATCGCGCCATCTTCACAATGAATGAGTCATTCGGTCGGTTAGTTAGTCACCTGACAACGCGACGGGATCGCGATTGTCGTATAATACTACGAAGAGTAGTATCTAGCAGGTCTTAAAATGTGCTTACCAATAAATGTAATTATATCCTGCTGCAGACTCGACGCAATGCAATGTGATCTGCCGGAGATAGGCATATCGCCTTTAGTATCCTACTGTACGGGAAATCCATGTACGCTGTTGTAGTATCTCCGTCCGAACTTGTTGTAAAACTACTATGCGGTGAACGTTGGAAGAGTTTGACATGAAGGATCTCCATAGATTCCTTCGGTGCTCAGCTATTTGCGGTTGCCGATTGTTGGGCAGTCTCCAAAATGCAATACCCTTGGAGCATTTTCTCGCTTAAAGCGCATGCCTGGCTTACTTCTCTGACATAAAACCCCCATTGAGTCCCAAAACTGTCATCCATATCAATATCTATCCTCTCATACCTACTCCTTGTTTAAACCTTCGACATAATGGCTGAGACACTGAAAACCTTCCGCGGCAGTTGCCACTGCGGCGAGTATATCTATGAAGTCGATCTTCCGGAGAAGTTCAAGCCGACCGAGTGCAACTGTAGTTCATGCTACAAGAAGGGTGCCTTATGGATCATGCCCGAGCCTGGGAAATTTCGCTTCGTCAAAGGTAACGTCGACACCTTGACAAACTACACGTTCGGCGAGAAGACTTTCAATCACAAGGTAAGCATAGATTGGCGAAATATGCTGCCTTGCTTGTGGTGCTGACGTGAGGGGAAACTAGTTCTGCCCTAACTGTGGAGTCCATCTCTTGATTGTTGGCTATGTTGAACTCCCGAAGCCGGGTGAGGTGAAGGATCCGATGACTGGATTCAATGTAGGTGATTGCATCTCATTTTAGTGGTCGACAAGGCGGCAGTCGCTCATAGTGGATACTCTTAGGTCCGATCTTTCCAATACGGCCAAGGCGTAGACGTATGGACTATCGAGAGGAATCAGTAAGTAACCAACCCCCTCCCTCTTCAATTCCCCGACAATTATAAATTAATATATGCTTCTTTCTTCCGCCTGTAGTCTCGATGGTAAATCATTCCGGGCACCTTACGAACTACCAAAGTTCACAGGTCCAGAGCCGACAGCAGTCATAGAGGGGGGAAGGTTATACAATGGTAGCTGTCATTGCGGCGCTATCAAGGTGGCATTGAAATCGAAACCGCTCGACAAGTCCTCCTCCGAGAGAATTTTAGAATGTAACTGTAGTATATGCAATCGGGTAAGCATTGTTGATCCTATTGAAGTCATCCTGAGAAATTGAGACTGACCCACCTACAGCATGGATCGGTATGGTCCTATCCCCAGAAAGATCAAATCGTCATCGAGGGCGAGGATAACCTTGGTGTCTATTTATTCAACACGAAGCTATTCGGAAAGACCTTTTGCAAGACCTGTGGAATAGCAGTGCACAACCATGTGCTGCCAATCTCTGAAGAACAGTTCAACCAGATGCCAGAGGCTATGCAAAAATTTGTCGAGAGTAGTAAATCGGTGAAGCCGATCAATCTGAGACTCTTCAACGACTTGAATGTCAGGGATTTGAATGTAGGGCAGTTTGATGGTTACAACCAAACGCTACCTCGTTATGTCGAGCCATAGGAGAGGGTAGTTAAGCAAGGCCAAGCCGAGTTTCAATAAAATTGGTGAGTGGTAGCAAGAGGGAGCTATCTTCTATATCCAACACATGTATATGAATATAAATTTTATCCCCCCTCGAGTATAGGCTAATAAATATGGAATTTCCATTGGGATAATGCTCTAGAATGTGACACAACACTCATGTAACTCGAGTGATGTTTGACGTTCTTTGGGATAAGGCCAGCTCGTTTTCTCAGATAGCATATTGTCGCGTCAGGTCGTTGGAGATATCATCGTCGGGGTGGTTTTATAACGAGACTTATCCCATCTAGGATTTCCATCGTCGTCGAACTCAGCCCATTGGAAGAACGAACAATTCTCCTTGCCAGGCACATTTCCGCCATAGCACATCCAGAAATATCTCCCCTGTGTTCCCTTTTTCTTCTGGACAACCCTCAATACCGCAGGGATGTTGCATTTACATCTTGGTGTGTGTCTTGGATGAAAAGCTGATTTATAGTGGCGATACGTGATGTTGATCCTCCGATTGCCCGCGATGGGGTGGGGGTCGATTGCTTGAGCTGGGGCGATGGAATGTTTCCATTCTTCCTGCATCTCAGCGTGCATTACCAAAAGCGAATTGTGGGGGAGGTGAATAGAAATTTGCCCTTCAGCATCAGAGTCATCCGAGTTGGTATTATCGTCCTTTGGCACGATCCTTCTGACGCGAAATTCCCTTGCAACCCCCAGTGAAAGTGAGCCTATAACAGCTCGTGGGCCTAAATATGTAAGTTGATCGGTGTGGTATCCGACATTTTGTTGAGGTCCATTATAACAATTGACGAATGCGCAGTTTGGTGACCAAGAATCGGAGGATTGATACTTGAGTTTTCGTCCTTCGGGGTATCGGGTCTTAATGCGGGTTTGAATTTCTCTGTTCACAGCCTCTTGGACTTTTGGCCTGACATGAAGAAGTTGAGGTGTGATGCGTCGGATATCTTCTAATCTAGCTCCATTATAAAAATAGTCGTCTTTCTGAGTGTTGATCTCTGCCTCTGTTCCCACATAGAAGCTCGATGTATGATGACTTTGGACGACGTTGTCAAATAATTTAAAAGTAATCTTTTCGAATGATTCCGATTCATCTAACATTTCCTTGAGAAGAGCATTGGCCTCATCCGGTGGTAAGAAATTGTGAACTATACTACAAGGTGTATGTTCAGCTATATCTTCAGGATCATATAAGTGAAGAGTTGTTCCCTTTTTAGAAAGTCTTCTTGTCTTTTTAGGCGACACGGATCGCTCTTCTACTGAAGGTTTTGAAGCGAATAATCGCAATGAGGTTTGGCAACCAATCGTGGCGCTAATACTCTGTTTCTTAGGTGATCCGGTCCGATCCTCAGCTAAAGAAGCGGAAGCTGCCTCGACAGACCCGTCGTGCACCAAGAGTGCTTCTAATAAGGCTTCTTGGCTGATATTCGAATAAAGTGAAGACAGAATCGCCAATTTCACGTCCGTTGACTCATTCTCATCAATTAATTGTGGTGATTCTTCTTCTAGTGCAGATGATTTGCGCTTGGTTCTTTTCAAAAATGCATCCATAATGTGGCCCGTGAAATACGGAACTTAGACGAGATATGACGATATGACGCCTAATGGATTAGACTGTCTTCAACCTTTCTTAGACTTAATATAGCGATGATCAGAGTCTCGCAGATGCTTAAGTCGTAAAGCGTACGCTTCCATACTCTACCACGAAGAATGGTTGCCTAAATAAATAGATGAGTCAAAATGAATTAGAAACAAGAACCTTGAAGGGCGTATAGATTTGAAGGCGCCATTGACATGACTAAGTCCACTTTAGAACCCAGGTGAGACTTTCTCGGAAATCGATTTATTGGGACCGAGGGTACCCATGTTCATGTTACACATTCATGGATCCCCCACATTGTCACAGGTACCTAGGTACCATTAAAGCCGAGGCCCCACCAAGAAACATTCAATTCATCGTCATACCTTTGGCCGTCAATTCTCCATGAAGCGACTTTCAACTGTGCAAGGTTTGGATGTGCCGACAAGCTTGAGGTTGAGGTCTAGAGGACAGCGGTTTATTTAATATACAAAAGCGTTATGGCTTCAATGCTGGAGTTCCGCACACCCGGCTGGAACCCTTATGCCGTCAAATACTCGCCCTATTACGACTCGCGCATAGCTGTCGCATCCGCAGCAAATTATGGTATTGTAGGAAACGGTCGTTTATTTTGCCTAGGCTTGGGACCGCAGGGTGTCCAGATCGAGAAGACGTAAGCGATTGTGAAAATACAACTCCGCGTAAACTAAAACCCTCGTCCAGCTTCGATACGAACGATGCCCAATATGACCTTGCCTGGTCCGAGATCAACGAGAACCAGCTGCTGGTCGCGTGTGGTGACGGGTCGATTAAACTCTACGACACGAATGTCAACGACTTCCCCGTAGCCAATTTCCATGAGCATAGGCGAGAAACATTCTCAGTATCATGGAGTCCTGTCACCAAGGATACATTTGCTTCCAGTTCATGGGACGGAACAATTAAAATCGTATGTAGCCCCCCTTCGTATGTTCGCATCGGTCCCAACAATACTAAATAGTATTCATAGTGGTCGCCAGCAAGAAAAGAATCTATCAAAACCCTACCAGTCGGAAATTGTACCTACAGCACAGCCTATTGTCCTTCCAACCCCAATATCATTTCTGCCGTATCATCCGATTCACATTTGCGGGTATTCGACCTTCGGACGCCCGTCTCCGCCCAGTATCATCTAACCTCTAAAATCCCAGTTCATATCCCGCCTCCTATTCCACTCCCGCAAGGTCCTACCCCGCCTGCTGTACCGGGAGAGATCCTAACACACGACTGGAATAAATACAACCATACGGTGATCGCGACAGGAGGCGTAGACAGGGTAATACGGATATTTGACATCAGGAATCCATCAGCTGGTCCGGCATCTGTGATGATGGGCCACGACTACGCTGTCCGGAGGTTAGCGTGGAGTCCACACGCCAGCGACATCTTGATTAGTGGAAGCTATGACATGACAGTGCGTTTATGGACAGATGGGTCGACGATGCCGGCCCAACAAACATCCCCAGTCAAGGCCGGAATCCAACTTGGCATCATGAACAGGCATACCGAATTTGTGACGGGCGTCGACTGGTGCTTATTTGGTGTTGGAGGTTGGGTTGCAAGTGTAGGCTGGGACGAGAGGTTGCTATTGTGGGATGCGAATAGAATTTTGCGGGGACAAGCGTAACAATTATATCGAAACCTATCTGAGTACAAAATAAGGAGAGAAAATACGATTCGTCGAGGCTAGATGGAAATTTTGTAGGCTTTATACCGGGATATTTGCATTGGGAGGCGTTTGATAAAGCAGTTGAGGGATTATGTTACTGATACCATCTATACTATATATCTATTTTGGCCTTCCCTCAATAGGTAGAATTCTAAACTTCGACTAATTAGTGAATCTTCCCCTTTTCTGAATATATGAAAGTAATAGAAGGTGATACTAGTAACCCATCTCACTACAGATTATGCCAAAAGAGCATTGGCAGTTGATATGTTTAAAGGTTATAAGGCATGTTCATACCAGTAGCAAGTCACTTGAACGCGGGCACCCATAATTCTTCTTGAAGTCATCAAACGTATCATTTTTAATTTCTTTTCGTATTCCGCGTTAACGACTCCTCTTACACTTCCTATAGTACATAAAAGTCGAGATTTCCTTTTGGTGAGTGGCCCCCTTTCATCCATCCCGGCCCTCCGAGATAAGATTCCGCCGACGCCCTGTATCGTTTCGTGAAAAACCAAAGCAGCGAGAAACCTGGACGCCGATAGTGTGTGTGTTTGTGTGGATAGAGCTCCCGCGGGTGTGAGAACCTATCGATGACTAACACACCGCCAACTTCTATGTCTTTGCGTGTCATTTGTCTTTCGGGATTGTCTATGTGATGAGTGAACACGGGTCTGGGAAACCCGGTACATAGACATCGAGGAAGCTTCCGAAGTAAGATGGTACATTAGGAATTAAAACAAGATGTCGAATCTGGGGAATTGGGGCTTTTTTTCAACATGGAGAGGCGCCGTGATACCTTTAGAATGATGCGCCTCCACCTGAGCCACCGTCATTGCGTGAACCGAAACGGCTGCCGAAGCCACCACTTCTGCTACCGCCACCACCACCGCGGCCACCTTGACCGTAGCCACCGGATCGGCCGCCAAAACCGCCTGATCGACCACCGTCTCGGCCGCCAAAGCCACCTGATCGACCGCCGTCTCGGCCGCCAAAGCCACCGGATCGGCCACCGAAACCACCGAAGCCACCGGATCGACCACCATCACCAAAGCCACCGGATCGACCACCGAAACCACCCGATCGACCGCCAAAGCCACCGCCTGATCGACCGCCGTAGCTAGTAAATTGTTCTTGGTCCATATCCGGCTCATCAAAGCCGATTCTGATTCCAGGAAGATTTACCAGTCCGCGGTTGACCGCCGACTTTCGCGTCACGGCGGGTTGTTCTTCCCAGCCCATGCCATTAAAGCACCACCTGTTGAGTAACTCAACTAGATCATCGGGTCGCAAATATCGTCCCATTTTCTGGCCGAGCATTGAGCTGTACGTCTCTCTAAAATATTGCTTTGGGAGGCCCTTGTAAGCTTGAGAGACCTCCTCGAAGAAGTTCGATACTTCTGCGGGAGCTTCGCCCTGTCCTACTACGTGTCGTGGAGCCAGAAGATCCCTGTTGGGCTTGATGGGTAGGCCAGGAAGGCGATTTCGCGCTTCTTGGATTTCTTCCTTGGCTAAGAGGAGATATCCCTCACCGGACTTTCCGGCACGGCCCGTTCGTCCGACTCGGTGAATATATTGGTCTCTGTCTGGGGGAAGACCGATCTGGATAACATGCGATACGTTGGGGAAATCCATTCCTCTTGCGGTGACATCGGATGAAACAAGAATGCCAACTTTAGCAGCTCGGAAGAGGTCGGCGTTCCTTGTGCGCTGGCCCTGTGTAAGCTTTGAATGAATATCATAAAGTCCGACACCACCCGCTCTGCCAGCCAAAGAAGTTCCTCTGAGGACTCGGTTCGCAAATGCGACAGTAGATGTGTTCGAGAAGAAAACAATTGCCTTGAATGGGGGGTTTGTAGGGTCCTCTGCGTGTTTCTGTTGCGCTCGCTGGGCTATTTCCATAACGGTTGGGAACCAATTCTCGAAACCGTTTACCTCAATAAGGTGTTGCGGAACACGCTCGTGGGTTGGAGTTTCATCGGGGCTGATTGTTTGCACAAACTCAAAATTGTCCGTTTTGACCATGTTCTTGGCTAGGTGGACGACATCTCGAGGAATGGTGGCAGAAAACAGAAGAGTTTGGCGGTCGACCTTGTTGATAGGAGGGAGGAGATCTAGGATGTTGCGAATGTCGTCGGCGAAGCCAACGTCTAGCATGCGGTCGGCTTCATCCAACACTACAGCTTGTAACTTAGGAGCCTTCACGCCGGATTCTGGGTCTTGGAGAATATCCTGAAGTCTACCGGGAGTGGCGACAAGTACATGGCAACCCTCTCGGCGCATCTTCCACATGGCTTCCTTCTTTCTCGTGCCACCGACGGCCGTTTGAATAACGATACCAGTGTGTCTGGCTAGCTTCTGTGCCTCAACGCCGATTTGCTCTGCAAGCTCACGTGTTGGGGACATAATAATGCCGCGGATATCTTCTGAGGAAGCATTTCGACGGGCAGATGGCTGAGCAAGGCTAGGTTCAACTGATAGGAGACGTTGGAAAAGAGGGATGAGAAAGCCTAGAGTCTTGCCAGTTCCAGTCTTTGCTTGCGCAACTCTGTGAAGAGTTAGCGAGGGGTAAAAAAAGGATTATCATTAGATTTTACGTACAGATCAACGCCCTTGAGCGCCGGGTTAATTGTCAGAGACTGGACGTCAGTCATTGTGTCATATCGCATGTCTTGGGTAATAGCCCGAATAATTCGTTCATCAACACCCAGCTTTGCTAGGTCTTCGAACCGGGTCACATCGTATATTCCAGCTGGTGAATCTTCGACGGCTGTATTAGGATGCGCGGCCGCTTCCGAAGAATATAATCGAATGGCAAGCTGTCTGAAGGAAGATGATTGGAGTTGAACCTGCGACAATCTTTGACACGATGCTACGAGGGGTCGAGAGAGAATCTGCCGCGGGGCCAAACTCGAGAGTTGGCGACGAGCCAAATTGCCTATGCGGGCATGCCGTAAGGAAGACTTGAACATTGCGACTGCAGAGAGGATTTAATTCCCAAAGTTCGCAAAAATAGGAATGGGAAGTGAAGAAATCTTCTCATATGCGCACGACCTTATAAATGAAAATTAAAGGCGCGAGTGTCGAGGCGAATTGAAATTCTTCAACTATTCGATTTTTTTTTCTTTTCAGAAACTTTTTTGACCAGGGTCTAGGTCCGGTCCGTTGAAACGGATCCACTTGAAATCGGAACCGGGATATGTTTGTTCCCCAGTTTTACCTTTACTGATGTTTGAAGACTGAAGTCGCTCCAAGTTGGTATCTACCTAGTACCTTGTATATATTATGAGAATTAGATATTGGGGTAACTGAATTGTTGAATTCTTTTTTTCTTTAAAAGAATAAAGAACTAAGCCCCGTATATTTATACCAAATGTTAAGGATTTGTCCACTTTCCTATAGCTAAGAAATTTTACCTATCAATTATCGTAACATGAAAAGCAACACCCAAACACTGGTGTCAAGATTTTTATCAACTGATTTAATAATATATGATTTCCTTTATCTTACCATTTAAGAGGCATAAATATTCTCTGATATTCACACTACAAGGTATTCAATGATCTATATACATACATACCTACCTACATATGTGTAGTATCTAGGTACATTTATAAGTACCTCCGGTCTACCACTTAGTGCCGCGTGCGGGTCTATTAGTTGAAGAACCTTTAAGTTCGAATAATAATAGTGGACCATCGAATCCGAACCACAGGGACATCCAACACTCTGCTAGTATGAAATACCTACCTAGTAAGCACCTAGGCACTGTGGCGTCCCTGTTTTACTTCTCAATTTACGACGTGCTAATTGATGAGCCCCGAAAGATCAATTGAAGTTCTTAGCACATAAATTATCTTAAAATGTTTATTTGGCTATAGTCTATTATCTCCCTGTAATCGTATCTGCAAAGTAGGATGTATGTAGGTATATCCTACAAATTTGATTGGCGGGCACGTACGTAGTAACGGAAGGTGGTTGGGTTGCATGTGAAAATCGCTTATCTGCTTCGAGCAAAAGCGTCCTTTTAAGTGGATAGACGGGACCTCGTTGCCTCAAACACATCCATGGCTTAGGCGTGCGGCTTCAACTGCTGCTAATATTTTATTTCAACAAAGAGTCCCTTTTCCCAATTATTTCTATGTACTTATATACATATACTCATACCGTGGACATGTGCATCCGTTATGTAATTGGACGATTCGAATCTTATGCATCGAGTATAAACTTTATATTTGAACTTTCTTCGAAGCCGAGCTGAACCTGTCTCCGTTTGACCATTTCCGATCCTACTTTTCTTCTCTTTACATATTAACATAATGTCCTGATGTTCGACCTGCATAATATTCAACACTACCAATAGCGAAATAACAGACCCGGGATGAAGGGAAAAATAATAGACATCATAATGGAACAAGATATGTCTATTGTGGTATTTAACATGTTACCAACTTCAGTCCAGTCTCGATTACCGGCATTCCGATCCCTCCGCCGATCTACAAGTTTATCTATTTTGTCCCTTCGGCGCCGTTCTCTTATACCTCAGAAAGACATGGAGCAGGTGATGATTGCAAGGAGCGAAGATAACTCGGTTGTTGAGCTGCAGCCATGTTCAGAGGCAGCCACAAACGTCACTAGTAGTGAACTTGAGGTAGACCAGAAAAAACCGTTGAGCTGCGATGACAGCAATCCTAATGCTAGCTCTGGAGTGAAGTGGAATTATGCCGCTCAAGGTACGAACTTTCTCAGTTTAATATCCGTTTCTTAAGCATCTGAATATGTTATTCAACCATGGGATCTAGGTTCCTACTTACAGCAGTCTGCCGCCCATGAAACAATTGACTTGGCCTTCGCAAGAAAGTCGTATATCGACGGTGTAGCGTACATGCTAAAAGCCCTCCCGGACGATATGGACGACTATGAAGCCGGAGTCATCCGACGAGCTCTGCCAACCTCATTCCAGCAATTTGGGACGGATAGGCAGATCGAAGCAGGACCTAAATGGCTTCCATCTGATAGGGCAAAGACATTTCTGCACTCCACCGTCCAAGGCTTCGTGTCGAGTCTTGTGCTTTTCGCCTACCTACTCCTCTCCTTTCTGTCAGCCGTCATCCGTACCGGAGCCCATTACGAGCGGCAATACAACATTTCACAACACGTCGTCTCCAGTAGCTTTGTCTTTGCCACCGCCGTCGGGAAGCAGAGTGGTGCCCTAAGTGAGAAGAGTGAGTATACTCCGGACATGTTTTCAGAGCCACACATTTGTCAAGTAGACTTCAAACCTCGCTGTCGGGCATCTTTACGGGTTGTAATTACTGACGTGAAATGTTATAGTTGGCGCTATAAGTGACGGCAGACTTGGTAAACTGTTATCCGACCTTATCGCCTGGACTATAGAGAGCGTTGCCGGCGGAGTCCAAGATGGCATTGGTCAGGGTCTACTTTTAATCGAACAGAGACGTAAATGAGTCATGCTACAACGAATTTTGCATTTTCTACCGGGATCGGCCTGGCGTACGGATAGGGGTAATACGTATACATATGGGAACACATAGGAATACATATAGAACGCATTAGAAATACGGAAGTATATGGGTATGGTTAGATAATGATTAAATGAAGACATCTGTGATATTTTGCATCATTTCTGTACAGTGACATAAATGGCACTTGATCGACGGAGAAACTCCGAAATATGTATGTATGTGTTCGCTTTGATTCCGAATCTACTAGGTACGGAACCTGTTTCAGCCCAAGCGGAATCCGCACATGTACTACAATTTGGATATACCAAACAACGCCGAGTCGATGGTAGGACTCCAAATGTATGGCTAACTTTCTTCCAACCCGGTGCCCAAGTCGCCAAGCCAATCCCGTAGTCTATGTTCATTATTGGGTTTTCCCGTCAACCTTCTCCGCCGCCATTTTAGCCTCCATCTTCTTCCTCGCTGCTAAGATCATCTCATCTCGCCTCCGTTGTAGCGACGCCTGTCTCTCGTCCCGGTTGGAGCTCCATGACTTTGACTTCGTTACGGACTCGACTTCGCTGTTTACAGTGACTTTGTCTTGCAACCTATACCTGGTAATTAGGTCCGGTTCGGCAGGCTTGGGTGGCGCTTTGAAGGTTTGTGTTTGCGCTGTCAACGATGGTGTCGGGGAGGCTGGAGGAGGTGGCGGTTGAAATGTAATAGGCGGCTGAGAGAATTATAGAATTAGCATCGAAAATTAAGGCAGATACTTACGGAGAGGCGTAGGCGCAGCACGAAGCGGAAAGAGGTAGAAAAACGTACTGTTTCCAGCCTTCCGGACAATATCCTTTCCGTGGTAGCCGCAATGTTCCCCCCGTTACGGTGCAGATCCCACAAGATAGTCCTCCGGTCGACCTGAGGGAACATTTGCTGTATCCGTTCTACCGCAGCCTCTCTTGCGCGGGAAGCTGACTGTGCATCGCGTGTCGGTCGCGGAGGCTGAGAGGCCGGAGAGAAGAATAGATAACGAATAATGAGGCCGCCGAGGACGATTATTAGGATAAGGGAAGTGAGTGACACTTGTTCGTCTGCCATTTCTTGTACCGTGAGCTATGCATGTAATACTTTCCACCTAAGTTCTATTATATTTCGACGAAAGTCATAGATGAAGATATAAGGTCAAATCGGAGACTGATTAAGAAGAAATCGGATTGTGGCCGGAATGGATTAAAATGACGTCCAGTAGGGAATCGATTCTGCTGTGGACAACTTAATTAGATATCGGGGTTCGGGAGTCGCGTGTGGATTCCAGCGAGTCGCACTTTAGAAATGTTACGGGAACAGTTGGGACCTTATCCATGGATCCTTCCTGGCCATATAAAATTGGGGGCTCATGTCTGCGATGTACCTAAGTACCTGCATGTGATGCTACCTGTAGGCTGTAACACTTAAGGTAGGTCGGGAAGTAATTGACGTCTCAACGTTAAGTAAACGGTAGGTACGTTCGCGAATATTCTCCAAATTTGAAGCAGATGGAGTGGTACTAGGTAAGATGCACCATACTACTAGGTACCTTAGGTATATAGAAGTTGTACATACAATTCCTCGTCACTGTGTGGCTTTCTAGCTATGCTGAGACACGATGGCTTAGGCAAGAAGGCACACAAACCACATTAGAACCATCGAGTAATTAGATGCGACCCAGAGCTAGACAATTCCCATATCCCTTCCTCACAACCCTGGGCAAGCCAGAGATAGCAATGAAAAAGAAGTTTGCGTCACCTGGAGGCAGTGTTATACCAGGGACACAGTGGAAGCGATCATGGGCAAGCCCAGAGGATGCGCTACCATTGTGCAAAAATTAGAATAATCACGATTGAATCCAAGTAGGATTCTTTCAGAGATTAAACTGAAAAGAACAGATACTACACTTGATCTAAGCCAAAAGGCTATCACGAGAGTTAGCAGAGGGTTATCGAACATATGGGTGTAGTGTTGGCTTACCAAAGAGAGCTGAAGAAGAAGAAAAGAAAAGAAATCTAAGATCGGAGCTGAGGAGAATTACATAGACCTTAGAGTGACGGAAGTGGGGCAGAGAGGGCACTAATTATTCTGCCGTACTTTCCCGCTCTATCGCTACACAGGTGGTCTATGCATCCACTTAGCCCTCATCAGCCCCGCGAAGCTTGGGGGCTAATTGACCCACTCTAATTACTCAATAACCAATGATTGTAGCTTGTGTCACTAGTTTGTTTTTGTTGACCTCAATCGCGTCGGCAACCAGATTTTAAATAATACATAGCAACTCAAATGCAGCAACAAGTTATTATAGGTGCTATGAGTTAATAGAGACATCATAAATCTTTCTATGCGAATCGAATCGCAGTCGCCAATATGAGGGTTACGGAGGTGATTATAGACGTATGTATACTACGAGATAATGTAATCAATACTTCTACTGACTTATTTAAAAGGGCTTCAAATCCTATGCCGTTAGAACGGTCATTTCGGGATGGTTAGTAAACAAGATTGCTCTTCAGCGTCGCACACCAGAAACTGACATGGCCTAGGGATGAGAGCTTTAATTCCATTACCGGCCTGAACGGTAGTGGAAAGTCTAACATTCTAGACTCCATTTGCTTCGTTTTAGGTATCACGAATATGTCCACCGTTCGAGCCCAAAACTTACAGGTATGGACCGCAAAAATTATACCTAGATGCGATTTAAGACAGGTCCTGACTATCCAAATTAGGATCTTATCTATAAGCGCGGCCAAGCAGGTGTGACGAAAGCAAGCGTTACTATCGTGTTCGACAACAGAGACAAACAGAAGTCACCCATCGGTTTCGAAGAGTATGCCACCATTAGCGTCACCAGACAGATCGTCTTAGGAGGGACTTCGAAGTATCTAATCAATGGGCACCGAGCACAACAGCAGACTGTTCAGAATCTATTCCAGTCCGTCCAACTGAATATCAATAATCCTAACTTCCTAATCATGCAAGGTCGAATCACAAAGGTTCTAAACATGAAGGCGGTCGAGATTCTAGCCATGATCGAAGAAGCAGCCGGTACTAGGATGTTCGAGGACCGAAGGGATAAGGCTTTAAAGACTATGGCCAAGAAAGAAATGAAATTACAAGAGATCACTGAGCTTCTTCGCGACGAAATCGAACCTAAGCTCGAAAAATTGCGGACAGAGAAGAGAGCCTTCCTAGATTTCCAGCAAACACAAAATGACCTAGAGCGCTTGACGAGAGTAGTAGTCGCTCATGATTATGTCAAATATCAAGAGAGACTACAACAATCTGCGTCAGATCTGGAAAATAAGAAACAACGACAAAAGGATCTCGAAGACTCCGCCGCCAGGCTCAAGAGCGAGATATCCCATCTCGAAGAAGACGTCAAGAGGGTGAAAGCGCAGAGGGATAAAGAGCTCAGGAAAGGGGGCAAAGCTCAGGCGTTAGAAGATGATGTCAAAAAGCATTCTAATGAGCTGGTTCGTTTGGCCACCGTGATGGACTTAAAAAATTCCAGCAAGTCCGAGGAAGAAGAAAAGAAGACCGCGGTCCAGAAGAGTGTAGCTGAATTAGAGGCGACATTGAAAGAGAAGACAAAAGCCTATGATCAAATCAAGGCGAAGTACGACGCGGCAAAAGAGGCAAACGAAAAGCAAAATATCGAAGCAGAATCAAAAGAGGAATTACTCCAGACATTGCAGACAGGCGTCGCGTCTAAAGAAGGCCAAGAAAGCGGTTATCAAGGACAACTACAAGATGCAAGAAACCGAGTAGCAGCCGCGGCTACTGAACAAGAACAAGCCAAAATCAAAATCGCCCATCTTGAAAAGCGAATCAAGGAAGAAGAGCCTCGAGCGAAAAAGGCGAAGGAACAAAATGCAGGCCTACTAAAAGATTTGGAGGGCCTCAAAGCTCAGTCACAGAAGCTTCAGGCTCACCTTACGAAGCTTGGGTTTGAGCCGGGACAAGAAGAAGACTTGTATACACAAGAATCCTCGCTACAGCAGACTATCAGGAGCTTGCGTCAAGAAGCGGATACTCTGAAGCGCAAAGTTGCCAACATCGATTTCAACTATGCCGATCCAACCCCTAATTTCGACCGTTCGAAGGTGAAGGGGTTACTCGCACAGCTCTTTACTCTTGATAAGGAACATATCAGAGCTGGCACTGCTTTAGAGATATGTGCCGGAGGCCGCCTTTACAATGTTGTCATAGACAGCACGGCTACAGGTACTGAATTATTACAAAACGGCAGACTACGCAAGAGAGTCACCTTCATCCCTCTTAACAAAATCTTGAGATATAAAATCTCAGCGCAGACTATTGCTACGGCTCAAAATATCGCACCTGGAAAGGTGGATCCAGCTTTGTCGCTCGTAGGGTACGACGATGAAGTATCAGCAGCGATGGAATTCGTATTCGGCGGCACCTTGATCTGCCAGGACGCCGAAACCGCGAAGAGGGTGACTTTCGACCCGAATGTACTGAAGAGAAGTATTACCTTGGAAGGTGATACATATGATCCCAAGGGATCACTATCAGGCGGAAGTGCACCAAACTCCAGTGGTATGTTGGTCACCCTGCAGAAGCTAAACGAGATCAACCGTCAACTCAGGGAAGCTGAGGATTCTTTGCGCAATCTCCAAACTAAGATCTCCCAAGAAAAATCGAAACTCGACCAGGCCCGCAAAATCAAGCAGGATCTCGATCTAAAAGCCCACGAAATCAAACTTGCGGAGGAACAGATTAGCGGCAATTCTTCGTCATCTATTATCCAAGAAGTGGAGAATATGAAGGAGACAATCATACAACTTAAGAATGATAGTGCCGAAGCCAAAAAGAGACAAGCTGAAGCTAGTGCTGATGCGAAGAGGATAGAGAAGGACATGAAAGATTTCGAGAACAACAAGGATTCAAAACTTGTGGAACTTCAGTCATCTCTCGACAAGCTACGAGCAACGTTGACTAAGAATTCAGCTGCCGTCAAGTCCCTACAAAAGGAGGTTCAAAGTGCCCAACTAGACTCTGAACAGGTTTCCGGTGATCTTGCTGCAGCGAGAGAACAGTTACAGGAGGTTGAACTAGCTATAAAATCACAACAACAGGAAATCGAGGACCTTATTAAGAAACAATCTGTGTTGCAAGAAACCCACGATCTAGCTCAAGCGGAACTCGACGATGAAAGAGCCAAATTGACAGGTTTCGATGATGAATTACATGCACTTGAAGAGGCCATTAGGTCAAAAAATAACCGAATTACTGAAGAGGGTCTCGAAAAGCAGAAGCTTGGCCACACGGTTGACAAATTCCACAAGGAGCAACAACATGCAGTCCAAGCCGTGGCAAACATGGAAAAGGAATTCGACTGGATTTCTGAGGAAAAGGACAATTTCGGTCGCACGGGGACGCCGTACGATTTCAAAGGCCAGAACATCGCAGAGTGCAAGGCGACGCTGAAGACGCTCACAGACCGGTTCCAGGGCATGAAGAAGAAGATCAATCCCAAGGTCATGAACATGATCGATAGTGTCGAGAAGAAGGAGGTGTCGCTTAAGCACATGATGAAGACGGTCATCCGCGACAAGCGCAAGATCGAAGAGACCATCATCAGCCTTGACGATTACAAAAAGAAAGCCCTCCTGCAGACCTGGGAGAAGGTCAACGGCGACTTCGGCCAGATCTTCTCAGAGTTGTTGCCCGGTGGCAGTTTTGCGAAGTTGGATCCACCTGAAGGCAAGACTATTAACGAGGGTCTAGAGGTCAAGGTTTGTCTAGGCAAGGTGTGGAAGCAGAGCTTGACAGAACTAAGCGGTGGCCAGCGGTAAGCATTTTCTCTTCTGATAATTCATCCCTACTACACCCCTTTTTTATGAGTACTATAATACTAATTATGACAATGGATTAGATCGCTAGTGGCGCTCTCTCTCATCATGGCGTTGCTCCAATTCAAACCAGCCCCCATGTATATCCTAGACGAGGTCGACGCGGCGCTCGACCTGTCGCACACGCAGAACATCGGTCGCCTCATCAAGACGCGCTTCAAGGGCTCCCAGTTCATCGTCGTCTCCCTCAAGGACGGCATGTTCCAGAACGCCAACCGCATCTTCCGCACCCGTTTCAGCGAGGGCACAAGTATGGTGCAGGCCCTAACCGCCGCGGACTTCAAGTGATCGGGCACCTACCTGTACCTAATTTTACCTTACACGTCTATATTTCTTCCAACCTACCTCTCGCGGAAGGTAGACAAATTCGTGTGCGAGTGGAGCGGCGCGTGGGGGCGGACGGACGGACGGCCTTTGTCGGGTTACTGCGCGGTTTAACGCACGTATGTACCTACCTAGTATGTATGTATATGTATGTAATGCGTATGTGGCTATGTCTAGCGTGCGCCCGCGTGCTTATGATCCAATATGAGAAGAAGGAGGGCGGGTCCGGGGAACTGGGGAAGAAGAAAAAAGAGCGAGAGACACAGAGAGAGAGGGAAAATATGAGGGATGAGACATGAGGGATATTGCAGGTTTTTCCCCAATGACGATTGCATGACCGACCGTAGAGCATTACTCGTTACGGCCCACGATGGTTGGATTGAGGGTTGGAGGGACGGGATGGATGGACGGACAACACATGAACGAACGCACGAACGAATGGTATACCAATTGATGGCGGTGGATAAGGCTACGCCATCATGAAATGTGTTTTTCTCGAGCAGGTTTTTTTTATTTTATTTACTTTTTTTTAGTTGCGTCGTGCTATGATTTTTTTTTTTTTTTCGTTTAGGTCGGTGCTCCGGAGTAATGACAAATTTCAGTGCCGACAATGTCTCAGTTCACTTTTCCCTATTCGCACTCCGGCTTAAATGAGTGCATCGTGATGTTCATCATTTATCCAAATGCGTCTTATTCCTTGGTGATACAGTACTATGTATTTCTATGCTGCCCAGTTTTTTTAATGCGCCGTGAAGTTCTGCGATACCACCTGACCACCTCTAATCTCACCACGTCTCATGATTAAGGTATGTATGTTTCTTCTCGATTCTTGCTTGATATTAACTGTACAATAGAAAAGCAGAATTTCTTCTTCTTACTGCTTGATATACACATGGTGGCCCCGCTCCTCGACCTCGACAGTCATGCCGACGGCGACCCATGACTCCAGGTCGTCGCCCAGGCTGGCGTCATACAGGGGCGTGAGCTGCATGCCCAAGCAGCCGTTCAGCGGGGCGCCCTCGTCGACGGCCCGCTTCGTCCTGAGAGACTTGTCTGGCTCGCTCGGGTGCCGGATGCCGGTGTCGGGGTCGACGTTGGGCATCTTGCATCTAATTATGGAGTTAGTTACTTTCTTGAGTCCTAGGTATTATACGATCAATCAGGTAGGTGGTAATTCTCCCCACGCTGCGAGGATGAGGGTGCCGATGTTGGTTCGGAGTTTCAGATGGGGAAGTAGGTGGGAAGGTGGGTTGGTAAGCAACGAGTGAGGGATAGAGGGGGCTACTGACCTGACAGTTCTGCATGATACATGGAATGAGGCGTCATTATAGAGACCTGAACTTCCCGGCTTGAACCGGACCTGCTTCCACGTCTCCTCGTCATAGGCTTCGGCGCCGGAAACTGCGAATGGCGTTAGATGGAGGGGAGGGGGGATTGGAGGACATTGACTTACGAATAATATTAGGTCGGAACCGGAGTACGTCAAGTTCCTTTAAGGTGTCATCTTTGGGAACTTCTTCGCTAAACTTTTGCATGCTATTCAGTGTCATCAGGTGGAGGGGATACTAGACTTAGTGTTAGTTTATAGAGAGAATGGGGAGCAAAGAGGAACATACGGCATCCTGAAATCCTGTTACAGGTTGATATCCAGCCTCATCCTTGGTTGGGGCGCATCGGTAAACCTCACGCAGCTGGTCCGGGTCGATTCTGAAAATGCCCAGCCTATTGCTAACACCCAAGTACCGTCGCAGCTCTGAAGGTAACTCCTTTTCCATGTTGAGGGCATTGACAGTTTCTTTCCAGATCTTGACGTTTTCAAACGTATAGCTGTTCTCCTTAATCTCTGCTTCTGACGGGAAGTCTATTGGAAGCAGGATCTCAATCTCCGGCTCAGCAGCACGTCCTCTATGAAGCTTCGCCGTAATCGTCGAGTAAAGACCACGCCAGCCTTCCTCCTTCCACGGAAATCGTATGACCAAAAATGCCTCCTTCGATTTCATCGACTGCTTCCGGAGCTTCATCTCATCCGGTAACCACAGATCAACAGTAACATTAGCAAGTCTAGGGAACTGCCTTTGGGTGACGAATTCCCACTTGTGCTGCGATTTCTCTTCATCCGTCGAGTTCACAGCAACGGGAAAGGGACTCTTGAGCTGCGCAAATGTGAAGAGGCGATCGAACTGTAGTCCCGACGGGAAGACTCTGCTCCTCGTCAGTTCGATGCCCTTACATGACTTGACTGGGTAGATGACCAAGCTCTGAACCTTTGGCGGTTCGTTGCCCTGTGGCGAGTGTTCAGCTGAGAATTGCTTCTTTAGGTTACTCTTCGAACCATCAACTCCAGCCTTCGTGTGCGTCTGAATTAGCGCATCGGCTTTTTGAAGTCCGACTGGGGGTAAGATAACAACCACCGGGATTAAGAAGGCGAGAATGGTGATTGAAAGCAGGAATATGGAGCTGGTATCCAGATTTAGGCCTCCACGGGCCTGAAGCAACTCATCCATGGTGATGCGTTGCTATTACTGGGAAAATCTTCGAATCGAAAGTATTATGTTGGTACTTGTCCAGCAAGACGCGTCTTTGTCTTTGGAAGATGTATCATACGTAGCTACAAGAAGAATAATGAGATGATTATAGGTACGAAAAGTAGAGGTGGGCCTCGGACGTCAAGGAGTTGAACCTAAAAAGCGGCGTTTCAAATATGGTAGCATTGTTAGTCCCTCGACGAAACGTTTGAAACACTCGAAACATCTGAGACATTGAAAGGGCGAATGGCCGAAACCTAATCGACTCATCGCGACTACATCACGTGATGATAACTCATCCTGTCTCATATTCGGCATATTCTGACATATCTTATCACGTGACATACAGCTGAACCGCCAACTAGGGGATAGTAAGCTAGCGGGAGCGGCTGATTTTTCGGCGAGAGTGGGCTACAAGCTAACACCTAATCTAATTAATTCTCTCTTGAGTCGTGTGAGAGTACGAACATGTAGGTCGATATTCTTCATGGAATACCGAAATACCTAAAAGATTTGACCAGATAATAAGATAGCAACAGCCGATCATCTACGTGGTGAATTCATACTCATATCTATAATCTAGTACCTATCTAGATTCTACCTACAGATATCCAAGGGAGATGCAAATTTTCACGTTCCGTCGAGCAGAAGCAATCTAGGTGCTGTAGGATTCTATCGTGGGCCGATCGCACTAAATTCCCCCCGAAAACGTACCTAGGGGATAGAACGCGGGCGGTGATCCCGGCGCTAACTAGACCCTGAGTCTTTTCTGAAGTTTTTCTACTAGCAGTCAAGACAGCTATGTTGCGTATGCAGCGATGTGATGGTAGTACCAATCACACCCCAACCATCCTCTGACTGACGTATTCGTCAGCAAGGGTTGGTGGAAATTATCAAGCCCGAAATCGATAGAAGGATCGTCATACACCCGAATAGCCACCGGTAAGACTTTACTTTTACTCCTATTATCACGGTTAAACGTGCTAGATCACGTATGACCTTGTCAACGAGTGAAAGCTTTAACTAAGTCTGGTTGAATTCGATAGAATACACATGAGGTCGTATCTCTACTAGGTAAGCCACACAACGAACGAGAATGAAGACGCGTCTCGGTATGGTCTCCGAATGCAACAAAGCCCGAGAGACGAACATCCCGCAGTTGAACTACCGTACTTAGATGCAACCATGGTTTGTTACCCACGACTGCCTAGTCGGAGATATCGGGATTGTTGCTAACCAACTAATGCAAGGTACCAGGCACGTTGACCAGGCAATAAGGGGTCACACGTGTGGGTAGCTTGTCTACTACGGAGGTTTTGATCATACTCAGTGGCGCTCACCGCCAGTGAAATGGCATCGACGGCGAAATACAGGTAGGTTAAGAGCTTGCAGAGCTTGCATATACGGCCAGAATTCCGGCATCACTTTCATTTCAGGTTGGCTGTCCCCCTTAGCGCCCATATGCAGAGCTAGTCTCAAAAATCGCATCAGTCCACGTACTGGGCGTACTTGGTAACAACCCCCCTGGAAGTTGGAAGGGTATGGTTGGTTTTCATTGCCAAGTATGACAACACGCCGGACGCCTCTGCATCAGCTTACTGTAGGGCGATGGGGATCCGCCGCGGGATTCACCATAATAACGTATGTGGTAGTCCATTCTGGGCAGGTTGTTCAGTTTTCAGGGCCGATACGGCCAGGTAGGTGACAACCAGATAGGAAAATGTAGGGAAATGTAGGAAAATGCATATTCTCGGTACATTATGTCGTTAGGCTGTTTATGGTGGAGGGCGATCTCGGGCTGATGATTCCGCGGAAGTAGCCACTATTCTCCGCAACTTTCCCTGCTTCTTATACGCCTAGAGAACGTAGTTGGACAAGTGAGGCTACTTCAGCGACGGACAAGATATTTGGAGATAGGAACTACATAGACTATACGGCCTTGCCGTTACCTTTCGTAAATCAACCTATCTCCTACTTACACTATCTTTACGGCAATGGCCTATCATCTATTACTTGGAAATGGCTAGATGTTTAGTATATTCCACTCAGACTAAAGGCGGAGTGTTGTGGGTTTAGGCCAATGATACGGTTAAAAAAACATGCTGCCATTACAAATAGTATCGGGCGCCAACAATGTGCGTGGCGGACAACTAGCTGTACTATATTAATATGTAGACACAAGTTGAAAACGCCATGTGGAAAACACCACTAAGGGGTAGATCTAGATAGAATCGGGTATAGAAGCTACACTAACTATGTAGTTCAGCCAGCTAATTTAGCAGCCTCACGGGGACACCCTAGGGTTCTCCACAGAAAGGATGTGTTTATGCACCGTTACATATAGCTCACCTATCAGCTATCAGACCGATTTTGCTTCAGCTGTTGTAAGAAGCCATATCTATACCTTATGTAAGTAGGGGCTCATGGTGTGTAGGAACTAGGAGCTCATCGCATCATGAGCCAGCTTATCTTTTTTACGAAAGTGGACATAACTATCGAGAATCTATGTATGTACGGACTAAGGGGTTCAGACGGGATTCGCTATTATCTAGCGGATTTGATGAGTCTAGAAACTCTCACATGCTACGTAGTGTATACCAAGGTAGGTATGTAGTGGATAGGGGGTATACAATGTGTATTATTGGCGTACGCTAAAAAAGTATAGCAAAGACCAGGGAGCCTCCTTGGGGGATCAGACCTTCGAGTTAAATGCAAGAGGATGACAATTTCCGCGATTGTTCTTGAGCTTCTCTGCATGAGATATCGTAAGATTAAAGCCAAACTTGCTTACTTATTAAGCAGTGGTCCCATAGACTCGGGAAATTCAAGTTTCCTTTTAGAGCCGCGTGCCGCCAGCCTTAGATAAAATGTTCAAATCAGTTTAGTCTCATCCATAATACAGTGTTCCCCATTGCCTCTCTCTTATCGGCTTTCCGCCTTAGCAGGGGTTCTAACCCCCGTCGTTCGGCCGGGAATCCTGTCCCATAATAAATCGTACTATGTAAATGTCTAGCCTTACTGTCATTGTTACATACATGCTTTTTTTTGACAGGAGTCGGTATCACACTGTGTTTCTAGAACACACAGACACGATGATACGACAAAATAATAAGGCCCCTGGCGGTTGGCGGGTCTTAGCGTAGAAAGGGTAAGCTGGGGATGATGAATCGGCAAATAAAGCTCTACAGATTTGCGACATGGGGTTTCCCGTTGATAGTAATAAGCATGAACAGAGCCCTGGAGCCTTGTAGGAGGACAATTTGGCCTAGCGGGAACGCAAGTCATAATGAGCCGCGACATATCTGACTCCGACGAACTATTGTATTCCGTAATATGGTATCGAGATGATATCCAGCGCAGGTCTCCTTTAGTTCGTAGCTGATCCTTGCGAGTGGAGAAATTTCGGGAGCCTCAAGCCGGAGGCTGGTATTAAGCTGTAGCAACTAAGATGAGGCTTATTAGACTTCCCAGTAATAAAAAACATATTATCGAGCAGACCAAACACCGAGATGAATGAGACGTGAACTAATTAGTATAGCTCCCGAATCCAATGCGAATATGTCACACTGGGCTGATTGGAGACACTGGAGTCGCTGGAGTCGCTGGATGGCAAAGACGTTGACGCACATCCTTGATCTACCTACCAGGTAGGTATACGATTCCGGAAAGGAAATACGAATATTAACATTAAGAAAGATGTATATTCTTGGTCGAACAGGTATAGCAGAGGGTTGATATAGGTATAATAAAGTAAGTTGTGTAATATTATGATCCTGATTTGGAACTCTCAATCAGTTCAATCCATCATTCCTTACCCATGTTTATGCAAAATATACTGTAGTAATACAGGGAACAAGGGACTTAGCTCACAAGTACGTCACAACCCACCAGTCCAGATACTTTATAACTACATACATACATAGCACTACATGTACATACTATGTACTATGTGCATGCATGTATTTAAAAGGGGGTGTGGTGGGACAAGGAGAGTTAAGGTAGGTGGGTTAAGGTTGAGCTAGTTGACTTGAGCAAGGTCTTAATTAAGTGGCGTCGACGAATTGGGTAAACCAGTGCCTGTTTCCCTTTTTTTATTTTCCTTCGCGCATAGCGTTTTTACTTCCCCCTAGCAACATTGAACTAATACAGAATTTCTATATTTGTCAAAAAAACAAAAACCTCTAGCGTCTAAGGTCGGAGCTAAGTCAAGAATTAGGTCGGAAACTAGCTTAAAATTCGCCGCCAAGGACGCAAATCTGGAATCCTTGACTACGGAATATATCAAATGGCAAATGATATCCTTGCACTTCAAAAGATTTCCGTCCTACCGCCTACTACTAGACCGGAAATCCGGGACAGAGGGAATTCGATGAGCGGAGAGCGGATGGCGGATGCAACGATGGGATGGGACGGTCCCTCTCTCACATTACCAGTCTCCAGAAGATCATTCCGAACTGCTCCAATAACTAGACAGTTAAGGTTGAGCTTTGGGGAAGCTAACTGGATCTGCTAGGGTTGTCCAGGTTGTCTGGTTGTCAAGGTTGTCCCACGTCCACTACAACATGAATGAATGATGCCAGTAAGCATATCATTATGCCCTCACCAACGCCATCGATCAAACTGTTGCGGCACAGCATGTGTCCCTGGCAGGCCTGGTCACAATCCGGTCCCTGTCGATCATGATCAACCACGGCTGGTAAACTGCTATATCTGTCTATGCGCCATGACATTTCTGCGTGGGATACCTAGTGCTGGCATCACGGCCCCTGCAGGTCGGCCGAAACTCACCGCACACGTTCACATTCACATTTCCAAAAGGACTCTCCAGCCACACGAACACGGAAAAATACATCCAATACATCACCTACCTAGAACTACCTAGAACTACTGTACCCAGGTACATATCACGAGAGGTACTTCCAAGTTACACTTACTACCTGCTTACCTACCAGGTCCTACCTAGCTGTTAGACAAGAGCTTCTGTCACATTACTTCACTTGCTGCCGTTACGGATAGCCCTGCCCAATGATGTAGGACCGGCTCCTTAGCATGATCGATCCGTTAATCAACTTAATTAATATGGGCAATGCAAGGTTTATGAGCCTCACCGTTTTCCTTCTTCTACCAAGTCAGTCTTTCTGCATTTCTGTCATGTACTGACAGACTGGGTGCTCCAACGCTCTGGTCTGTGTTCGGGTACACCCCCCCTTTCACTACTGTATCTAGTCCCCTGTCGAGGGCGGTGTGGAGGCCCATTCGTACATCTTTGCAAAAAAAAGATTTTTTTTCGGAAATTCGAAACGCTATTCCAAATATAGTAATAAGACTTGCGGAAATTGTTAAGGAAGTACATAGCAGTATATTGAAATGGATTACTTAGACATGGGATACATGTATTCGCATACAAATTTAGCTGTATAAGTATGTATATAATGTCGCTTTACTTAGAGTCAATTAGATCAATTACCTAGTAGCTTTCAAGGTTGTTGCAGTTGAAATAGCCTTCTAT